GTTGCGTCTGAGCAGCAGCTGGTGCCTTCTGGGGCCTTCTGCATGAGAGCGAGGGCGAGCTTCTCTTTCGTCTCGTCGAAGACCTGCGGAAAAAAGCTGGCAAGCTCGATTGACTTCTGCTCTCTGCGCTCCGGTTGCGCCTTCTGGAAAGGCGCCTGCCATGCAGGTCCCTCTTTGCTGTTGGCAGCCTTCGGCAAGGTCGACTCGGATCTGGAGGATTCATCTGGCCCCGCCCGACTTTTTGCACAAAGCATACGAGGGCATTTTGGGGACTTCTCATCATTTCAAGTTTGAATCCAAGTTATTTCGGTCGGCAGGGAACTTCTGTGTTGTCGTGCAGGGAAGAGGGGGTTGGAACTTCAGCGAGTTGCGGCACGAGCTCTGCAGGAAGTGCTTGATAAAGCCGTGGAGCCAACCACTGCAAATTCAAACGCCAAAGGCTCGAAGCCACTCAACCCCTGAGAAGACAGTGGCCTTCTTGCCAGTCCCCATCTGAGAAAGTGCTTCCGCCGACGATGATATCTGAGGCAAGCCAGCTCCAAACGTTTCTGAGCACATGCATGGTATGCAGACGGGACGACCCTCTTGTAGGCACATTGAAATTACCCTGTCCCCCAAGCCGAGAGGACTGTCTCAGAACTCTTCATGCGCCGCATTCCTTCATATCTCAGCGATGCCATGCGGAGGGGAGAACCAGGGTCACAAAAGATCTGGACATTCGAGCAACTGTGACATAAAGTTGCGAAGCAGACTTGAGCTACAAGGCCACAAGCGGATCAAATGAAAGCCTTCACCCCACCCTTGAAACGGTCGCGGCTGCGGGTCTTCAGTCGCAGTTTCGGGACTGGTGTGTGCTCTTCACAGGCTACTGGTGCCCCATGCATGCCATGCCCAATGCCTGCGCAGCCACGTAGCGCAGCAGATCCTCGGTTAGAGACGCATGCAGGAGTGAGGAGCGCGTTGGCCACAGCTTCAGTTTCACACCCTGGAACGAGTCCCAACGAAGTGTCCCCAAGAACGACGGATCGTGCAGAAGTGTGAGTCTTTGAGAATTCTGCTTCAACACAACAAGTCATGGACTCGCCCTGATTCATGCCATACAATCGAGCGGGCCAAGTGACCCTTGAGAGCCGCAGCCCCGAATGAGGACGACCATCATACCGCGAGCAGCTAAAGCTAAAGCCAGGTCTCCCTTTTCAGCGCCAGCTTCTCGGCCTGCTCGAGCTCCTGGCGGCGGACTGCTGTGTTCGGCCTTCCCTTGTCTCCACTGCTGCTGCATGTTGCCCTGAAGCCCATTATAAGACATTATGAAGCTGTTCCAGAAAACAGACACCATGTGCCCTCTCGTGCGACGCAGCATTCGGTAATTAGTAATCGCGCATACCTGCTGGTGAAGAACCATGAGACCGGCAAGAACAACTGCTTCCTCCAAGTCCGAGCCGATGATCCACGCCCCGATGCTGGGCTTCTTCAAGCTCTCTGCTGAGAAGATCAACAGGGGGCCTGATGACGCAGGCTTGGGCCGTGGACGAGCAAGGTCTCAACAGCTTGGAGTAAAAGATTCTGGGCACGGCGGCTTTTCAGCTTCCCTGCTAAAGATGCCTTGAGTGGAAGGTCTGAGTACATAGGCGGGCTGACCTATGCTTCCTGGATTTCCAATCCGTCGCAATGAACTTCTGCCAAGCATCCTGTATTTGTATCATGCCAGTCTTTCCGAAGCAGAAACTGGCTTAGGAGAAACGGAATTATATAGACATATCAGACTGCGCTGCGTGCCGGCACTTCTTCGCAAACTTGGAGTGCTGTGGAGACCGTCAGCTGAGCCAAAAGCAAAGCAGCTTCTCGCCCACGAGCTTCACGCGCTCGGCCATCAAAACTCTCTCGGCCAGAGCCTTCCAAACAAGCCGGCCGCTGAAGCACTAGCAGTAGCATGCCGTGCGAACTGCGCATGTTGCTCGCTCGAGGCCTCGTTGATGAAAAGCCGATTGGACAACTGAATCCTCGAAACTGCAGTCATCACAAATAGCAACATTCACAGTTGAGCTTTTGGATTTATCTGGTTGTCCATTGCGAGGTGAGTATCGTCTCTAGCATCTGAGTCCGCCTGCGGCATGTCGTTTTTGCCGGGCACCGGGCTTGTCGTAAATACTCGGCGTGATGGGCTTCTCAGCTCCACCAGACCACTTGAAGCCCGGAGACTCCTTCACAACTTGATGCGATGCCGTATTGAGTGCTGGTATACTATGCAGGAGTCTGGAGTAATGTTCGAGGGATGATTGCAAGGTCGGGCATGCTCTCTCTCGCAGACCCGAGTGCAGGGTAACGGAGCGGCGCATGCTCTCTACATCTAAATAAGTGGTCCGATTAGCTTGCAGTACCGCATGGGTGTGCACGCGGGTCCGTTCCTCCCAAATGAAGGCATCTGCCCTCTTGTTGAAGCCCGATTCCCACTCCTGCTCCTGGCGTGCGATTTGAAGACAGAGGGAAGTGTCGTCTTCAAGACGTTCAATCGCAGTCGGAGGTGTTACATCAGCGAGCAGCGCTGAGAAACGCAAAACGGATGTTGATGAGAAGTTGAAGTTGTGGCAACCTTTGCCTTTGACGAAGCTTGAAACTATGCGCTCGTCTCACAACATTGCCGCATGCAGGCCATCAAGAACAAACCCATAGTTTCACATCTATCCACATCTTGATGCCACGAACTGTATGGGTTTGCTTGTCAAACTACATGCCTTTTTTGCATTCCCATCAGGAACAAACCAACAGAAGTGCGAACGACATTGAACAATGAAGAGACGGCTTTGAGCCGTATCTTGGAACACTGGAACGGCGGGAAATCCTGAGAATCATCACAGCTGTGCCTTCTCATCGAATTGCTCAGACCGCTCCAAGCACCACATTCGATTCATTCCTAGGAGGTTCAGGCTTTGGGTTTTGCTGATGCAAAGTGGGGCTTGGAGGACACAGGGTGAAGGCTGGAGGCCAGGGGAGAGTCCGGAGCTGCTAGCGGCTAACCTAGCCGACCTAGCCTCCCTCGAGCGAATTGCTGCTACCGCTTCTGCTGCTGTTTGCTGTTGCAGTTACTGTTGCAGTTGTGGCGGCTTGCCTCGTCGTCTTCGGCATCGTGTTTGCTACCGTTGGTGTTTCTGGCTGTCGCTGGCCATGACCTTGTTGTGCTTTGTCCCGTTGACGTCGTGGCTGTCGTGATCCCCGGCGTCTCTTGTTTCGTTGGTTGTTGCTAGTGGTGTTGGCGGTGTTATGTCTCCTGATCCTTTTAGCAGTTGTTGACCGTGGAGTTATGTCCTAGTGCTGTACGGTTGCTGAATAGTAAGTGCTGTTGTTGCCGGTGGTAACGGTGTCTTTGCCGGTCGCAAAGGTGCTGGTGGTGCTGGTGCTGGTGCAGGGGCTCTTGCTGATGCGGCTGCTTGCTGGTGATTCCTGGTGGTGGTCATGCTGCTGCTGAAGGTGCTTGTGGTGGTGGTGGTGCTGCTGCTGCTGCTGCAGCGATTGCTGGTGCGGCTGCTGGTGCTGGCTGGTGGCTGGCGCTGGTGTTTGTCGTGTGTGCGGCTGCTGATGAGGCTGCAGCTGCAGCTGTTCATGCCGTCGTCGTTGTTGTTGCGGTTGTTGCTGTTGGTTGCTGTTGGCTGCTGTTGCTGCTGCTGTCGCTGTTGTTTTCCCTGTCGGTGTCGCTGTCGACGACGATGATGATGATGATGATGATGGCTTATGCTGCTTCTGCTGCTGCTCTTCCTGACTCCTGTCGCTGCTGTTGCTGCTGTCGTCGGCTTGTGTTGGTACCATTGCTTCTGGCGTCGTTGCTGTAGCACCGTCGTTTTCAGTTCGTGGCCATCGTGGTGACGATGCTTATGTTTATGACATGTCGTCCATACTGAGGTTGATCTTCATTCTCTTCCTGGTCCTGGTCCTCCTCCGCCTTCAATATTACTTGTTCCTGGCTGCGGCTGGAGTGGCATATGACGCCCAGTCGACAGGATGCAGAGGTGATGACTGCAAATCGAGAATGGGGGCCAGGAGCTGAGCTTCTGTAAATCTCAGCCGTAGATTAAGTGATGAAGCAAACCCCGAACAGTCCAAGAGTTCCAGAGCCGACACGAAAAGGGCTCGAGAGTCCCTAGAGCTTCCAGAACAACTCCGGAGCTCCTCTCAGGCTTTCACGCAGCTGTTCCCGCTATTACAGTGTTGGGTATACACATGTCAGGTCACGATCGTGACCTAACATGTGTACACAGCACCGTAGCCGGAACAGTTGCGTGTGCACGAGTCCCATCCCGAAGCGTGCACGGTGCGCGGTACTGGTCGGAGCACGATTTCAAGCATGCAGAACACACGAGTCGCAGCCAACCCAGAATTCGCATGGCACTGCGGCGTGAGCACAAGGATTTCGAGACAATACCAAGCAGCACCGAGGAACACCGCGGAGGCGAATAGATATGAGCATGGAGCTGTGGCAGGAGAGTGGTTCGTGAATCTAAGCTCGTATACCCAGAGACTGCAGCAACCACAGAACCGCCCGGCGTGCATTCACGTGCACATTACGGAGAAATGTTTGTGGAGGGAATATCCCAAACTCAACATGTGTTGGCAAGACAGGGTGAGGTGTTCCCGACATGGTCGCGAACAGGGTCGCTAGCACGTGATTCCTGGCACATGAGGAGTCCGTCCTGGTCAATGCCTGGCCCTGTGTGAGTCTTGTGACCTCCGAACAACTATGCTTGGCCATCTAGAGCGAGCGACGGTCATGTGTCATGATGTGCCAAGTCTCTGAAGGCCTCGTGCTTCATTCCCGGCGGGCCTTGCCTTAGTGGAAGGGCGGGAGTGTCCAGGCCTTCATTCAGCCCGAAGTGAAAGTCAAATTCATTTAACGCACCTGAATACAAGGGGGAGGCTGAATATGAGCAGCCAAACTAACCCGCAGCCACCATCAGCTGCAGAGCTGCCAGGGCAGATTTGCTGTGGAGCCAGAAAGACTGAACCCCAACCTAACCTGACCTGGGGACCATACCGTCATCTGGTCCTATAATAGTGAGCTGGGGAATAAACCAATGGTGCCGTAAAGTCACAAACTCAAGCTGTCGCCGTCTCCAGTGAACACGTGACACGGGCTTGGCCCCCTGCCCCAGTACGTCTGCGTCCTCTCTGTCCACGTATTGGAAGCCCTGGCGCATGCGCAGTGAGAGTATGCATCATGCCCGAATCCAACACGCGGGCTGTGCTTGAATGGCACTCGCTGCACAGGGAACGCTTGAATGGTTGTGTCTGGTTGGTCCAAAGTCTGTGCTTTACCTATACCTCTCTACGGAAGAAACAACCGTCCGTGCTCTGGAGCTGTCCCCTACAGCCTCCCATGGTGCCGAGTCCGGATTTCGCGGATATTCATCCCGCACCCACCTCGGCGTCGGCATGTCTTATCGTTCAGGCACAAGCAGCTTTCTAATCAGTCCGAGGAGGCTCATTATGCAATTTGCGTGGTTTGACTGTGCTGTCATCCAGCTTCCGGCTTTCTGCCCCAGTCAACTCTGGAACATGGCGCAAGCTGACCACCCCAAAGCCTGTGGCATCTGAATCGTCCATCTGAACCAGTCACCAGCTTCAGCACAATGCGGATTCAACTCGGGTATGCTTCTGGGTGCCAGGCACCGAACCTGACCAGCAAGACTTCCGCGGCTTTGGTCCGCGGAACCCCAGGCTTCGTAGAGCCTACATGCAATCCAGGGAATCCAGGGGTAGAACTTTACAATGTCAAGGGCCCTTGATGCCGAATGTGAGTCGGAGCACCCGGCAAAATGAAGCTACCAATAGGATCTTTGCAGTGAACACGTAAAAGAAGAGTGAAAGACTCCCTGCAGGAAATGAGAAGAGCGCCGGTGGGATCGCTAACCAGCTCCAAAACACGCTTACTGCTGACGAAGCCCCGTAACCAGAGCTCTCCGATATGCACACACACACACACACACACACTGCCACGGCGCCTCCACCCGAGACTCCAAAGAGTCGCTTTCCGTGATGACCTCTGCACCAAGACGGCGCATGGAAAAAAACATCAGAAGCAGCCAGCAGCACTTCTGCTGCCGCCACCACCACAACGACTCTAGGAAAAGGACACCTCGCTGTCAGCGGTCAACAGTCTTCTTCCAAATTAAAAAACTAGTCACCACAAAGAATGCCGTTTAATAACAATCGGTCAGAAGTGTGGCTCTCCACCTTGGGGTACCGTCGGCTGCAGGCCGGCTCTTGAAATTCAGCAAATTTCACCCACAGCATGGACTTAGTGGCACGGCTCCTCTTAGAGTCTCAGAAGCCCAGCTACAGTAGCAGCTAGCCGGAATCGCTCAGCCTATCTCGAGCACACGCGACAATCTCACCGTCAGCCCGTTCAAACCCCGAGCACCAAAGAGTCGCCGCCTTGGCGATGGTCTCCCAGGTCGGCAAAGTTCCCGTTCTCTTCGACTGAAGGAGCGGCGTCTTCTTGCGAGTTGCTCGTTGCAGAGACGACGTTGTTTTGGGTCGGGCAGGTGGCTGACCGGCTGACCGCTGAACGACGGGAGATAGGACTCAGGAGCTCTGCAAATACTTCTAAGTATGGTTTCATGGAACCAACCCCAAGATCGAAGCATGCGGGAACCTCAAAAGCCCAGGCGAATGGCTAGAATTCCGAGACCCTCGATGAGATTCCTAAACATCCTGAAGTACCGCAATAATCCCAAGCCGCTTCTTCTCCTCTTGTGGTCTCTTTGTCTGGGTTTCCCGTCTGGCGTCGCACTGGCGAGCACGCCGTAGACCATCCCCCGCCGCCCGAGTAGGCAGTGCTGGGCAGAGGGCAAACACTTTCACAACTGCTATGAACTGCCAGGCAAGATCATGGCGAAAAGCGCATGCTAGGCTTGTGGAGCTCTACCTTGGCTTTCACGTGCCAGACACCTGACTCACTCATAGTTCGCCCTGGTTGGAGCCGAAGACACCCCATGGAATGCTGCCCCCAAATCCCGGGCCCAGGGCACCAGCAGGTATTTGAGCAGGTCTGGCTGGCGATTTTCCAGGCGCCCAAGAATCGACAACCTCAGGATTGTGACGCGAACTAACATGAAAGGGAGACTGCACATCTGCACATCAAAACACCTGCACCTCGTTCGCGAACGGCCCACCGGAGGGACCAATCAACAAGTAAAGGGCCGAAACAACGGCCAGGATATGTGTGCCACGGAACGTCAGCAGAGGGGCAATGAGCTTGTCCCAAAGGTTGCGACATCGCCGGTCCTAAGAGCAGGCCATGTCGAGTCTAATCGCAAGCCTGTTTGAGTCTTCAGCCGAGGCTCCACCGGGCGAAGTTTGCCTCTGTCCTCGTCCTTCATCATCAAGGCCTCCATGCTGCTACAAATGCATCTATGAGGGCTACGAGCTCAAGTAACTGGCCATCGCCGCAATTCTTCGAGATTAGTAGAAGGAGCAGAAATTGCGAGGCTAGATGAAGCACAAAGCCCCAAATAGGCATTGCAAGTAGCCCGCCTCAATGCCGTGCATGCGGTCCCCGGCCTCTGCAGGTCATAGAAACGAGGCGTCGAACAAAAGAACACGCTGACACCACTGATATCTTATACTCAAGATGCGTCTCTTCTCCGTACCAACGTCGCCCCACAAGCATGAAAGTGCGATGGAGGGCGGAAAGTCAGCTCGGAGGAGCGGTGACGCTTCGCTCGTGCTAGCTGCATGTCAAGGACAGCGAAGCAGGCCGTCGACTGACCAGAGAGCTTTGGTCGTACTTCCGACAAGCTGCTCTTCGTATGGAAGACTAGCAGTGCGCGTAAATTGAATGTGAGTCGACCCAGGGAGACTGAAACAGGGAGACTGAAACAGGGCACAACAGCGTGTGCTTTGAAACAAGTCTACTATTGAGCCCTCCATGCAACCGTACACAACGGATCAAGACAACATCCAAGAGCCCTCCCAACGGGGCCGGAAGCAAAATCTGTCGGAAGAGCTGGAGGCGGTCTCCCTGGTTCACCTCGCAGTCCACAGCCAGTAGGCCAGGGTTAAATTGATGGGAGCGTTGATGCAATGAGCTTGTTGTCACGGATGATGTTCGACCACGAAGTGCTGTGGTTGCATGTTCATGAGATGCAGCCGTTCGGGATGGTTCAATCTAGGCAGGACCTTTGGAAGAGAAAAACTTGCTTGGCGTCGAGGAGCCTCAAACAGAGAGCCTCATACAGAAGCGATGTATATAAGTATATTCTTAGCTGTCCTTTCCGAGTGGTTGATCCGCGATGAAATTTCCATAGGGACCCTCAGGGGGGAGAACTTAACACGTATGTTCGCGGTACGTCTTCTGCTCACAAGCATGGACCCACAAGAAACCAAGCCTGCATGTTTTGGGCCTCTGTGCGCAGCTCTCCTCACAGAACCAAAACACGACGCTGCCTCTATCATGGCACTCTCCCAGTATTGGCAAGGCATCTTTGCACACTGACCGGAATTGCCCAAGTATTCAGCAAAATTCTTGGGCATAGCTCTATGCCTGCAGGTTGAAACAGAATGTGATGAGCCTTCCGCATCTACTCTTTACTCTCCCCTACAGTCTGAAGCGTCGTTGTCCAAGCCAACACCACGGGAGTTTCGTCCGTCCACTTATCTTCCACACACGCCCATGCAGAAGGGATATCTCGCTGACATTGTATGTCGGTTTGTTTAGTCCAGGCATTCCCCACATTGTGCTGGGCATTGGTTGCAGATCAGGCATCGTTAACAACAACTGATGTACCCCTCTTGCGTGGGCCCTCTGCCAAAACACTGGCCTCTATATGTCCGGGAGCCAGACGATTTCTCTGCTCCCTTGCTGACCAAGTCAGCAAACGTTTAAGGCACTTGATGGCATCCGACCCTGTAGTTGCACCGAACCCCACTTACATGATCTCATGCACCAAGGCTGGGTAAATCAGACATGCCATCAGAGCCTCCAGCACTCTTCTCAGAAGCTCTGCTTGTGGAGATGGAAGAGATTGGCATTAAGGGACCGCTTTTGAAGAAGCAATGGCTGCTACTTTTAAAGTCTCACCCGAGTTTGAAACCTGTCAGGATAGTACCAGACAGAAGAAGGGAATCCTGAAGAAGGCTAAGCCTGCACCTCTTCATGTGCGGGCCTTATTCACCTAGATCTCGCATTGAGTGGCCGTCCACCGTTGCAGCAACATGTCTGCAGTGAAGCAAAGACTAGCAAAGTATGCCGCAGTGTACCCATACATGACTGCTGAAAAAAATCTTTCGCGAATGAGTTGCGACCATCGACCGATACAACCGATCCTGCTTCTGAAAGATCGTGTCAGTATGCCCCCACATGTTGCTACACGCCGTACGAGGTAGGTCAAAGCCTTGCTCATGAGTAAATCCTTGAGAAGCTGCTCCAACGGCCACTCCCCACTTCTCGGTGCACGCAAGGCTGCTGGGTCTTCTCGCTAAACTGAGCCGGGCCTCTTACAAAGTCGTACTTATATGACATATATATATATATATATATATATATGTGAGTGAGAGAGAGAGAGAGAGAGAGAGAGAGAGAGAGAGAGAGAGGGAGAGCGAGAGGGAGAGGGAGAGGGAGAGGGAGGGAGTGTGTGTGTGTGTGGTGGGGGGCGTTCAGCTGATGTCATCCGGTTGCAAAGATAAACGCAACATCACGAACCCACTTATCCAGATATTAGAGACCGTGAACTCATCACATCGAGAGCCCAGAATGAGAATCCCCAAAGAGCCCATGCTACGTCAAAGGCCCCTCACTGCGGGGACCAGAGGTTGAGGTTGTCTGACAGCAGCTGCATCGTAATCCTCGGCAGGTCGGGACGTCCGTCAAACGAGGACGGCTACCCACAGTGTCTTCTAGCTTGCTATGAGTTCTTTGGCGCTGGAACTACTGCTGTTGCATGGTCACATGTCGAGGCGCAAAAGGTGGCCAAGACTTCAGCTTGGGAAGGCTTTGATGTCGCGGGCATACCAATATCGAAGTCCAGCCAAAAAACTCTCATGTGGAACAGCTGTTGAGCAATGCGTGACGTTTGCGCAGTGCCGTACCTTGCAGGCTTGGTGGTCAGTCCTGAGCCTGGTGACGGTTATGGCGGTTTAGTCGTCAAACTAAGCAGATCATCCCAGGCGCAGTGAGTCGTTCCGTGACTCCTCGGGGATGTCGTTCACTGAGTCGGAAGCCATGCTCAATGCCTAGCCGTGGGTCCATCCAACCAGTCTGGCTGCCTCGAGACCTGGTATGTGTGCCTCAAATCGCTGCCACGAGAAGCCTTTCAAAACTCCCAACCGAACCAAATGCCCGAGACGCTGCCTCCCTTGCAAAGCACAGCTCCCAACCTAGGACCCCCCAAAGCAAGAAGCCTCGGTAGCGGTCTCAATGGCACGGTCTGTCTGTCGCAGCACCTCTGGAGTTAGAGAGTTGTTTTTTGCGTTGGGCAGGAGATTGTCATGACACAGCACACCTAAAGTCCGAAGAAGCCCAGCGAGCTTTCGGTGCACTGGTTTGAGTTGCCTGGAATCTTCAACTTCACCTGGTTCATTTGCGGCGACTCCGTTTTTATTTCCGCAAGTTCTGGTGAAGCATGCCATTCCTTGTCATCTTATACTGTCCGTCAATCCTGCAAGGAGGGCAACTCTTGCAATGGTGGCCGTGGCCTCATGCTGGAAGACCGAGAAGTTCAGGGCGAGGCCAAGTCTCACCTTGCAACCAGTCAAAGAACCAACTAACTTAACACTCGCACAGCTATGTCTAAACATGCATGTACGCATGACTGTATATAACTGTACATATTTACATGCACATGCATACATTCATACATACATATACCTAGATTGATATATCGACCAAAAGTCACATATGCACGTTTGACTTTGTACGTATCTTCTTACCGATGCCCGAATAAAGGCAGAAGTGCTCAAACACAATCTAGATGTTGTGGCACAGGCCGATCAAGAGGCCGCAAGAAGTCCAGGATGCTTTTCGGTGACGATCCCTGTAGGGGCAAAAAAGAACTAAAGGACCAGGTCGTTCCGAGGCGTCGGCCGGGTGGGCGGCAGGGAGCACAGCCGCCTCCTGGAGGCCTTCCTGGAGAAGGAGAAGGCAAAGCTTGAGGGAGGGAGAGAGAGAGACTGAGTTCTGTCAGGTCGACGTGTTGCTAAATGCATCTGGCGGCTCTGTGATGGAGCCCCTTGCATGTAGAGAGCGACATGCGGAACCGAGAGGGTAAGAGAGAAAGAGAGAGAGAGAGAGAGACACGGACAAAGCGAGAGCGAGCGAAAGGGATGGAGCGATGCGACGGCTCGGGATTGAAACTCAGCTGTCTCACATGGTCGACTTCGATGCAGGCAACACTGTGACAGTCTGCGCATCTGCGAATCTCAGACCTGCAGTACAGTACAGTATAGTACAGTTCTGACACCTTGCAAAATCCGCCCATGACTTTGCGAGCTCAGGCGAAATTCCGGATTGTGTAGGGCCTGCCTTCCATTTGGGAATTTGTTGACTCCCACATCGTGAGCCGCAGCAAACACAGCCATTTTGGAATCGAAGGAGACAGAGGCGTGCGCGAAATTCGGGCACGGTGGCAAGGACAACTGCGGACATGCACGGAAATTGCAAGAAGCACCAACACGGGAGACATTGCGACAATGCTACTGTCGCATACGGCAACTTTCAATGCCCATGGCAAAGGCAGACGGCAACTGACCTCTCACACAACATCACATGCGTACATTGTAGACTCATGCTCATTTTGCCCTTGCTAATTATTGTCAAATTATAGTGCGATGAAGATTTTATTCATAAGGAAACACAAACCGCCATGAAGCCCTAAGAAGCCCAGGTTGCTTTCCTGGTAGGCATTGCTCGCTTCCTCCGCGATTGCCATCTTTGACTCGTTTCGGTTCCTCGGACATTAGCGCAGAGTCGGACTGTCTGGTTGTGAGGTTTGCGCGTCGCACGTCTGTGACTGGTGGGTAAAAGATCTGGAGGCTGGTTTGCTGATGCTCAGAGGGGTCAGGTGGGGCATCCATGTATCCAATGCCAAAGTTGTGATCTACAGCTTGGCCATTCGAGTTGCAGACATATTATAAGTTGCTCCTGTGAATCTTGAGGATTCCTGGAACAGGTGGACTGAAGAGCTGGCTGTCCAAGCTCGTGCGGATGTGGCTACCCGAGAAGATTTCAGAATCTACTTCTGAGACTTCGCAGGTGAACCAGCTGTAGCCCCGGGGTGCGACCACCCAAGTATTCCTTGCCAGAACTGCATCAACGAAAGGGAAAGAGGAAGGCGAAGTCTCTTCAATACGCACTCAACTCCGCCAGCAGAAAACGGCCTGACACCTAAAGCCTGCCTGTCAAAAGACCCGAGTTTTCATTCTCGTTGCACCTTGAACGACTCGATTGCAAGGCCTGAAGCCTCCATAGTTTAGAGTTCTGTTTGCTGCCGCTGGTGCCACTCTGCGAGGTATCGATAGTAGTCGCCTTGCCTCAGAAGCAGAACCGAAGCATTGACTGGGACCCGCTCACAGCTTTCAATTAACTTTTCCACTTCTGCCCGCTGTTAGGCCACGACGTTGGGAGAAAACAGCAAGCACAGCACGGCATTGTATCTTGAGAGTGATATATCGATGGCCCGTGCCTGTTCTAGTGATTCTAGCATACCTCGTTCTTCTTAGCGCCATGCAAGTGCATCGGATTATGTCTCACCTGTGCCCTGTGAGATAACTGACCCGAGATCTTGAGCCTTCCCGTCCTGAACAAGCTGAACTCTAAACCCTGACGACACTCCCAAAACCCGCCGCATCTCTGGCATGATGCATCTTCAAGTAGAAAGTCTTGGCCTCCCCAGCCTTGCGGAGCGGACGAGACACAGAAAGTGGGAGATCCAGGCTTCCCTAAAGGGGCTTAGATTGGTGAAATATGTAATAAACTCGGACATCTCTGCCTTCTTCTCCCTCTATATCCACCTATCTATCCATCTGTCCTCCGATTGATTACCGTTCAAGCGTACAAAGGTTACCTCATCCGCTTCAGCTGAAAGCAGAACTCCAAACTCAAACCCCCGCGATCCGTGAAACCGGGCGCCCGTCTCCAACACAACCCTCTGCCTCGGCGTTCGGCACAAGATTGCTGCGGAGCAGGGCCAGGGCATCTTCGCAGATGCTCTGGAGCTCAGCCTCGACCTCTCTAATCGCAGGTTGCACGAGAGACAGAGAGAGAGAGAGAGAGATCTGGAGAGCAGGTTGCTGCTGGGGCTTGGGTTGAAAGGTACACGCAGCATTACACTTCAAAGTACCGTACACTTCTATTCCCGAGTGATGTCTTCAAGGGCCTGTGTAACACAACAAATATCACAGGCAGGAAGCACCGTAAATACCGTGTATTCTATACTTTATCCAACCCAGCCCTGGGGTAGGCCACATAGACTCGACACGTCCTTCACAAAGCCGTATATCTTATCCCTGCAGGCCTCTTCATCCTATCAAGCCAACCCACCCAACACCAGAACTCAACGCATCATCTGCTTTGGCATGCAATGTTCAATTGTTGAAGAACCTGTACGTATTGAATTGGCGTACTTATATTTGGCAGAGTGCCCAGGAATCGAAATAAGTGCTTAGATCAGTGCTTTGTTACTGCATGTCCACAAATATGAGTGAGTGCAGCATATGCATTAGCATGTGTGACTGTTAAGGAGTCAAGGAATAATAAAAAGCTGCCTGTGGTTAACACGTCTGCTATTTGTCGAAGATGACTCAGAGCCTGTTTCTGCATGTTTATGTCCTGCTGGCTGTCACCATCCTGAATATCGCACTCAATGTGCTTATTCCGAGTTTCCGTCAGTATTGACCCTGTTCCTGAGCTCAATGCCCTAACCAGGTTAAGGACGTGTGTCAAGTCTCAAATCTGTGCACGGCCCAGTCATGAACTGGCGGTAGTAGGGACTCGGTCTGCCCGAACAGCGGCTAAACCACGGCTGCAAATGAAGTAGATAAAAGTCGACATCAGGTTTTGAGAGGATGCCTGATGCAACTTTGGTTTCGGCTTGAAGTCTATTGTCTCTATGCTTCATGCCACTGTCGGTACACACAGTAAGCTGCAAATACATCCAGTTCGTGCAGAGCGTCAACAGCCAACATGGGGTGCAAAAGAACCTACACAAAAACCATTAAAACCCGCCCCGTGTAAGGATATTCCCTTAACCAATTTGTATTACGGTATTTCTCGGGGCCTGTACTCAACAAAAAGAGGGCTGGTGAGCCCTCACAGCGGCCAGGACTAGTTTGGCAGTCGCTGGAACTTGACCTGTGCACGGTCATTCCCTGCAAGCCTATGGTGGCACTAATCTCCTCCACCGCGGCCTACTGAGCAGTACCGTGAAGGTAAAACTACAAACAACGCTACTTCAGCGGCTCGCCTTCGAGCGATAGCCCCTGGCAAGAGAAGCGTGGGCATCGCGGCCCTCCAGCGTCTCCATCTGAGGACAGGGGCATGTTTTTTAACGTGCTTTCAAGCGGGTTGTGATGACTGAAGTGTTGCTACTATGGTCGGCTTGGACTGGACCTGCAACGAGAAGCCGTGGGGTAGTCAATGTGAGGATGAAACGTCCGTCCGGCGGATAATGAGTAGTGACCCTTCAAGATTCGCCTGAAAACTTAGGATGCAAGAGATTTCAGGAGTTCAAGTCAAGAAACAGACAACAGGATCGAAAGGCTGAGGGCTGGGAGTAGGGACGAAGGCTCGGAAATGGTAAAGGGGCGAAGAAAAGCCCTCATGGGCAACGGCTATGCTGCGCCTGCTCCACACCGTCAGCCACGCGCACTGCCACGCGGCGCTCGGTAAGCGAATTCCTTTCCAGAAAGCTTCATGTAATATGTCGTGACGGTCTCCGTCTCTGTTGTGCGTGCGCTTGTGTTCGTTCGTTCGTTCGTTGTGTCTGTCTGTCTTTCTGTGTGTGCGTGTGGGTGTCTCTGTGATTCAGTTCTCCGGCGGGAGCATTCATACTCCCTGCCCTGAAGCTGCCCAAGCACCTCGTGTCCTGCCGGACCCTCCCCTGAGACGGTCATCTATGGGCTCCACTTCCGGCCCTCCCTCTGCCAAAAAAGACTCCTGGGAGTAAAACCAACATACTGTAGGCAGCCTCCAGAGTGCGGCTTCAAACTAGTGTTCGTCTTGCAGCTGGAGCACTTGAAGGCGGCTGAGAACATGTCACGCTCCTGGCACATTAACGGCTATGTCAGTGCCCCTGGCGAGCACGGGAGAAGCGACGCTCGGTCAAAATCAGCATCCATCTATGGAATCCGTCGCCGAGGTTTCACAACCTATCTTCTCATGAGGCGCGTCCTCGGGATTCAGGATCGAGCCCATCTGCACGCGCATCCTTAAAGGAAAGTTGGCATCAAGGGCAGAGTGGGTCTCTGGTCCGAACACCCAGAAAGCCTCCCTAAATGATCCTAAACACGATAAGCCGGGACACAATTTCCTGCGTGCGGTTTTCACGATGGTTTAGCTCGATGGGTCATAAACTGTTCTATGCGGAAGGTGCACATTGTGCGATTCCCTGCTTCATGACCGTAAATCAGTCTTATAGGCGCCGCTCGAACGAGACTTCAAGCAGCTGTTGCCGCATGGCCCTTCGTCACTTCGAACCAGGTTCCTTCATTCCTGCAACTACTGCAACAACAGTTACTTTAGCGAACTTCGCAGTGTGTGAGCCCTGAGTGGACGACTAACAAGGTAACGCCGTCCATTCCCGTTCCCCCGACCTAGACACCACTGCCCGAAACAAAACCGCAGACTCTCAACACCAACGGCGCCGTATTGATTCAAGGGCCTAGGGGCTTCATGTAGTTTGCCATCTCGTCGTAGCGCTCCGCTCGCTCGGCCACGCGGGCCAGGGTCACCAAGGTCTCCTTCGGCGGAGGACGGTTTTTTTTGGCCCGTTTCGACATCGGCGAAGCGACTGGGTAGCAATTGAGTCCAAGGGGCAGCTGTCGTTCAACTGATTCAACTGAGCTTGCAGTACTGGGGCATATCGACGGTCTCTTGTCAAATCATGCATGCTCTTTATCCTTCGAGTGAAGAAGTATACACATACAGACTCTGTGTATATCAATGTTAGTCTACATCTAGCTGTATGCATGTACAGAACTGTCTGTTCCTGTGTAAACTGTGTATGGGTAGAATAATGTGATGCGGTCTCACGGGGTGTCACTGGGTTGTAGACCGACGCTGGATATCGCTATCGCGCTTCGGGTTATTGCGGCCTGTGACTAGGAATGCGGGCCAGGGGATTCGATCTTTTGGTACAGCCTGGGACCTGGGGATGGAGAGGTAAGGCTTTCAAGCTGCTTGGCATGTCACCAGCTCCAACATGTGCTTGGAACATGTTTTGATGCTAAGCTGCTAAAACGGGTTTCATGGGTGACGTATCAAGATGCATTTTCAGTGTGACCTATGGAGAACCCGGCAGGAGCTACAACGTTGCATCATCTGATCTGCCTTTGTAGCTAGTCGCAGTTAGTATTTCGTGATGGCTTAGCTAGGTCCTCCCCCGTACTGCAGCAGCCTGACTAATGTGATTTCGATGTCGGACTCTGGTCATTTTGCAACGGCGTCTAGGAGGCTCAAGGCTGTAAAGCTTTAAGACTACGTTGGCCAGTGTATGTGGTTTCGACACGGTAGTTCCGACCGTCTGCAAAGGCACAAGTGCAGGCCAAGCGTCCGCGTCCATGGCCGGAAAAGAAGCGCGACGATCAAAGCACTCCCAAGCCCTCAACTCTGTCAATCTGAGCCGAGAAAGGATTGCATTCGATCAATCTTTGTTGCGCATGCTCAGCTCGGTCCTACAAAAAGCAATCGCCGAGCAGTGAAGACATTCTCCGCAGAGACTTGAGACGATTCAGGGAAAACTCAGCAGGGTACAAAGCCGATGGCAGGCTTTTCGACCATGAAGACACGGCAGCGCCAGATGTGTACCACCGAGAGACGGGCTTTAATCATGATAAGCATCTTGAGGTTGTCAATGTGTTTTCCAAACTTGCATGTGCCGGCCCCGACTACTTGCTCCAATCCGCAGTGCCTTGCCATCCACGCTGTAGATGTACTGGTCGTCGAAGCCCAAGGAGCAGAGAACGTCCGCTCCTTGAGTCTTCCATCTACGGCCCCACCAAGAAGCAGTGTGCGAGAGCCACGACATCGCCCACAGAGCATCCTACTGACAGAGTCGGCTGGTATTGTCCAAAACAGCACTGTCTGCACAGTTTCCCATGTGCGCTTAATACATCGGTGGCAGGAAATGCAAGCCGAAGGTCGAGCTTTCACCTTCTCCAGCTCAGAGGAGCCAAAAGGAAGTTCGTTCCGGGCAGCCTGTGCAGAACTAGGGCAGATCGGACCCGACGTCAAACGCGGACTTTCTGCATCACTGGAAAAAGGAGTCCGGGCGTGCCTCTTCCTCGGCTGCCTGCAATTTGACAACGGAAAGCACATCTTGCACTGCACACGCTGCACTTCATCCTGCGCCTTCGCTCGTTTTACTGTATACGTGAGTTGCCCGAAAGCGTTCAGACACTCGATACGGCTGGTGGGCCATGCTACATGCAAAACCTGATGCTAAAGACTTGAAGCTGCAATCGCTCAATGGTAAGCTTGAACACATGCACAGACTGCACTCCAGCCCAACCTGCTCTGCGTGCGACTTCTTTGGTCGCTTGGGGTCTTCCTGAGTTGATGAAGTCGAAAAAAAAGCTTGCAGCACTGGCAAACTTCATGAACCATGTTTGAGCATCTCCAGCTCTATTGACTGTAATACTCTGAATTGCTGCTCTGGTCGGGCTGGTTTCGCCCAGACTTGGAATCCGAATGCATGACGAGTGAATGCCTCAATGCCCCTGCACACGTAAATAAACATAGCTTCGGAGAAAGGAATCGTTCTAACGGCGGCTGTCTTTACCCTGCTACAGGTATGGGTTTTATGCATTGGCGCATTCTCGCAGGCTGCCTGCATCAGCCAGGCGGCCGGAATTGGCTCGGGTGGGCCCGGTGGTCGAAGCGGAAGCTCCTCGTCACGCAGCTTCACTTGGCCACCAACTTAGCCTGGCTCACAGTCCCTGACAAAATGCCCAAATCGTCTCATGGTTCAGTTTACATGGGGTCAGAGAGACTGCTCTGGTCCGCGCGTTTGTGAATTGTCGGGACTGTGCTCTGGGAGAGCTTCGGACGCCCCGCCCAAGGAGTTAATTACGGCCAGAGAAGGGAGGTCAATAGACAAGCTATCGCGATGTCTTCGACATTGGAGTGTGTGGCGGGAGACCGAGATCTTTCGTGTCAAGACCTGCAAGTTTGGGGAAGTCTGGGGTTTGGGTGTCGAAGCTTCGGATTCAGTGTTCAAGCACTGAGGCGATCCCGAATCACATCACTGGTCTTGCGAGAACAATCAAGGCCGGCGCGAGGATACTTGCTTAGACTGAAAGCACCCCGACAAACCGTAAACTTTCAACGCTTGGCTGGCGGACCCCTTCTGCTTGGTCCAACCCCGATACAGGAAGGTTTATTAGAGTTAGGGTGCAAGAAGTTCTGAGACAAATCATGGGAAGCCCGCAAAGCAAAGCATGGTCCGCAGGTGGAGCCCCACGGCCATCCCAATTCCTTGCACTCGGCGTGTACATGTCGAGTGTCACTCGATGCATGCCGGTCATGTGATTTTGCACGGAAGTAGCAGGTACACGTGCCTATCCGATCCCTCCGTTTGACCCTATGAGGACTGGCATCCAACACAGAAGTCATCAACAAAGACACTGAAGAAATTGCGGGAAAGTGCGCTCAAACGCCGAGTCTGTCAAACACATCACTGCAAATGCCCGCTTGGGAATGCCATTCACAAGCCGAGGCTCAAGACTACATTCGCAACGCTCCAGGCGAAGCCCTCATTGACTAGGCGGCCAGTATGTCGCCTCGAAGGGCGGCTATGCACACAATCTGAGAGTCGAGGCTCTCAGGGGTTGCAATGCTCACTACACTCTACACGCTAGCAAAGAACGGCAAAGACCTTTTTGGCAGCATCTTCTCCGCTGTAGCGCCGCCGCTTGAAGGGGCTGTTCGCCATCCAAGTAAGATACTCGTCGTCGGAGGACATGGGCTCCTCCTGTCATGAACCGCCAAAGGCCGATGTGTTTTTGTCGAAAAAGCTCGAAAAACAACAACGCAATGACTTAGAGCCTCTCTGGTGAACGGAGCAAAGCGGGTGCTTGTGCAATTTATCGGCCATGATTCTGCCCAGAATGCCGAGGAAGTCCTGCTTGTCAAGCGCAACTCGTCTGCTGCTCGAGTCCTCTGCGTCGTATTGTAACACACTGCTACACTCACAGCTTCAGTCAAAGATGATCCGTTTGAAGAAAGCACATGCATTCTCCACCCATCCTGCTAGTGCTCTCCATTCTCAGTCCATTCTTACTCTTTCCGTCCACTCCGACAATTTCCAAAGTCCTCACCAATTGACACAAAATGACCCCAAATTCTGTTATTACTCAGGTAACTCTAAGTCTGCTAAGTGTCGAAGACGTAGGACACCTTGGGATCATCGCCTTCCATCTGTGACTGCTTGGCCATCAGTGCTTCGCAAAGATCCTCGGACAAAAGTTGCTGCTACCCTGCCTGCACAGAACAAGGAAGAATGACGCGCATCAGCCCTTCTTCGAAGTTAGTCCAACGAACCACTGCTATTCTACACTTTCTGGCTCCCATCATTGAATCATTTGCTCCAGTGCACTTTGGGAACCCGCTAGCAAAGCCAAAGACTTGTGAGGGGCTACAAAAATGCATTGCGGGATTTAGTCACCCTTGATTTCCGACAGGAGTCATCTGAGACTGAAATGCTCACCACAAAGCCGCTAACCCCTCCCACATTCTCAATACGCCACGATTCTGGACGCTGGCACTTCAAGCTCTGGCGCAGGTGCCGCGCCAGGACAGGGTGGGTGGCCGATGTGCATCTGGGAGCAGCGAGGCACAGTCCGTGTTCCGTATACTGACTATATTGATGGCTGAGCAGTCCGGAAGCAACATGCGAATGTCAAGGATCTCTGTACTGCCTCAACAGCTGGTCTGTGGACCTCAAGTGGCCACCAGGAATTCAGAATACGCCACCGATCCCAAGTTCAAGTCGGGCACCTCCAAACGTTCCCCACATTCCACTCGTTGCAGAAGTTCTGAGTGACCGCCAGCGAATCCTGCAGTCTGGGGGGTGTAGCACAGCTGATTGTGGAGATGGGAAGCCACAAAGCATCCAGTGACCTTTTCGGGCATCGGTATCGTAGAAGCCAGGCTACCAAGATGATAATAAACGAGGACGCAGCAGAGTCTAGTTTACGTATCTCGTATCTCGTATATACAGCCTCCAGATCCTCGGACCCCAACCCATTAGGCCTCCAGGTTCAAGACAGCATGCCACCATCGTGCCGGCACGAACACGACCTGGTGCCAACAAACGATGCCGAGTCAGACTTGCCACTCGGGGTCTGCCCTTAGTCTTCCTTGCAACAGCAGTGACGGCATGGGGCTCACAGACTTCATCGGAAGGGGCTTTGGAAGGTTGTGGGCACATCCAATAGCTTGCTCTTGTGGTTCTTGGAATCTCTAGTCGCCGCTGGCTCCCGTTGAAGGGAGAAAGGTCCGAACAAGGGCTGCCGCAAAAGCCATCGTAACATGACTCGATGCCTACAGATTCAATCGTGATCTTCGAGTTTGGTTTCGGAATGTGCAGATTATTGTGATTCTTCTCTGGGAGTTGCGGGCTTTCGGGATGACATTCGGTTCGCTTTAATTCGTAGCAGGCCTCTCCCGGCTGCTGCAGGAACTCGATGGGTCTGAATTGCTCGGGCCATGCCCGTGCACGGGCACTCCTGAGACGAGAGCGTTTGCGACGGGCTCTCGTAGATACAAAGCCTGGTTATACAACGCTCTACGCAGAGTTGGTGGAACTGCATGTCTGTCGCCAACTGTGGGCCTAGCCTATACGTTACAGAGGGAGACCACGTGCAGCTCATCTCGAACCTATATAATCTTTCTCGGATTAAGACAAATATTGCCACCGATCTTGAACGGACTGTGATACACAGGCACCGGAAACCCGTGTGTAATTGTTACTACTCAAGCTGTTTCTCAGGATTAGGCATGAAGACCCATCCGTGCGAGTGCCGTGTGGTATAGCCAAAACAGCTAACATTCAGCTGAGACACTTCCACCAGTGCAAAAACCTTGGCAAACGGTGGAGAAAAGACACCGGACGCGAGGAGTTACACCGCTGTGATGCCCCGACGCCGGCAGTCTAATGTAACATTTGATGCACAACCTCCTCCATCGCTCGGCACAAGGGAAGATGCACGAGCATTTCAGCACCCTGGCGCAACGTGTCCGTGCCCACATTTGACTCTGCGAAAATGCTGTGGGATTGTGTCCATCAGCGTTCTGACGGCCAGTCTGCCAAGACAGCTTGGCTTGGTGTGCATGTATGCTGATGCTCAGCCCTCCGACTGCCGCCGTGGTTGCCAGCATGAGGCGGACTCCTCGCTGAAGTCCGCATCTGCCTGCGGCACGAGCCCACGGTCAGAAAACATGGAGGCAATTTCTTGATTTGTAGTTTCGGTTGCGCTTCGACATGCTGTTGCTGAGTTTCTTCGGCATTCATCGCTGTATGGCGTATTGCCACGGCGCTGCCCTGCAGATTCCGCGGGCCCCTCTTCGAGAATTCTCAGGCGACCTGCCTCCGGGCGTAGGAGCTCCGGTGGAGTGGAGGGCGGGAAGAGGACCCAAAGCTTCTTGCCTCATCAAGGGCGTTGGCCTCCATAGAAGAAACTTGGACTTTGAAGGTGCTTCTTGGAACCTCCTGTACTATGTCCTTTACTAATCGCTCGGCAGGAGACGCATGTAAAAAGCTCAGCCAGAGTTCTGTGCCTACTGGTGGCAGCTCATTCTGATCCTCAAATTCAAGCCGACTGACCAAACACAAGGGCATTCCAGGCCGACGTGCCCAAAGGATCTTTGTGCAGAGTGCTGCCAGAACCTTCGCCGCTTCTGGCTTCTGCAACTGCTCAACGGAACAAGCAATCCCCACAAGCGAACAAAGTACTCAGCCGCGTTGAAAAAATGCTGTTGATGGGCTAATGTTGAAGCTTCGGTGCTTCAGGTGCGCAACAAAACTCACAAAACCCTGTCGGCACTTGTGCGGCAATGTCCGTCAATCTGAAGGACCTCCGTATACTACGCCGAAGGCACGGCGGGGTCCAAGCAGGAGCCATCTGAACGGGGGCCGCAGCGGTCCTCGGTCGAAGCTTCGACACCCTTCCAACAGGCATGAGCTGATTGCGAAGCAGGCCGCCAAGCTCTGCCAAGAGATCGCTCCGGAAAGCCTCGGGCACCTTCAAGGCGCTGGGCGTTCAACAGAGACGCGGCTCCTGCGGGCGGCCTCGTAATCACCTAGAAGGGTTTTCGTCGAAGGGTACTCGCCGAAGGCGTGGTCGAAAAGGTAAAGTGGCGTGTCGTCTTCCTGCATATTGCTTCTGAGGCAAAACATGCGATATATAGATATATATATATATATATATACTCATGAACTCGCAAACGAATGCAATCCTGCCTGCTCTGCCATGTAATCCCTGAAGTCGTTAAAGCGCATGCGGATGCCGAATCGGTGATCGCAAATGATCTTCTGATGGCCGAAATCCGCTGCAAAGTTCTCCATGCTCCAGCGGGACATTGCTGGCCATCTGTGCATTGCGCCATTGATCACGGCAGGAACGGATCTACTCTGGTACTCCCGCCCAAAGTTCTTGTACTTCTCATCGTGCACATCAACCCTTGCAATGTTGTTCATGCAGCGGCCGTAGATAGCCCCCAAGTCCAGGCGAGCGAAGGCATGGACCTGTCTTGCAGAAGCAGCATGGATCGAATCGAATGGCTGAGACCTCTTTTCGAACTGTGGCTAAACCAGAACAGAGTCCATGCGAATCCACTTGCCGACCACCAACGTCCGCCCGAACACAGTCAGATCGGACTCAGAACTCCCGAAAATTGGCAGCCTGCCAGTCCGCTTCTTTCCAATTGGGACGGCGCTGTGCTCGCAGCGCAGCGAGCAGCCGGCGGCGCCTCGCCGCCCAATCCTCCTTCGGGCCGGGGGCCAGATCTGAGCAGGAGCATCACCAAACCTTCGATGTGAATCCTCGAAGGCTTGCCCTGACTCCTTAAGCAAAAAAATCACTAGCCTTGTGCCCTTGCAGTACCTGCCCGTCCTCAGTTCCAGGCAGCGTCGCCAAGCGCCGTTCGTGGGCTTTCAGTGCTGCCGAGGCCTCGGAAAGTTCTGCACTGGCCTCCGGATCGCCAGGAAGCAGGGTCAGCACCTGGCAAGACATGAGGTAGCCCTGATGAAAGGATCGGGTCATGAAGGTGATTTACTGCTTGAGACGATCAGGGCCGCCGTAGCGGAAGTGTAGAACCAAACATAAACGGCCACAGTAACAAGACTGTCACGAACAACACTCCGAAAGAAGGCGGCTTGGACAGCACCAGCCCGAGCTGTGCACAGAAGATGCTCCAAACTTTTAGCATCCAACTGCAACTACTCTTCCAGTGATTTCGTGACTTCTTGCTGTAGGGTGGGGTTTGTCTGGGCTATCTGCTCGATAGAACGATCCAGTTTGAGCTCCGTGCAAACTCTACGGACAGCTTCTTGGCACGAGCTGATGGCAACGGTTTCTTGCGGCTTCTCAAGTGCGGTTTCCTACGACATCTAATAAGCAGATCGAGGAGACGGCCTGCTGGTACATCTCGATGGCCTCTGGAACGCGGAAGGCACTCATCAGTGCACGCGCTAGCGTCTGCTTCGCCTGCCGGGTTCGCATGGTTGCACCGTCGCACCGGACATGCATCCAGCAAGCCCAAGACTCCAATGTTCATGTCTCGACAGATTCGAGACTTCGATGCGACAGGGATCCATGATCCCTAGCACGTCATTTTGCTCAGTATGCAGTGGTGAAGACTAGGACTGGATGTGGCTGCCGTGCTGGTCTTTTCTTCGGAAGGGCTCAGAGTTCCGGGCTGCAAGTGTGTGTTTATATATATATATGTATATATGTACATGTACTCTGGCACAAGAGGATCTCTTGTCTCGCCAACGTTTACTCTTCGATGTTTCCCGGTGACCAGAACCCTCTGGTCTACCAAAACAAAGCCCGGAAGCCAGCTAAAACATGCTAAACCGATGGAGCTGATGCTGATCGTGCCTCTGGCAGTGTCAGCGTCGCTCCGGGCGCCAGGGCGACGGCATTGCGAGCCGCCTTCAGCATAAAGCGGGGGAGCATTGGGGTATGCGGCCATGCACGGCCTAGGCGTCCGAACTTGAACATGCGATTCGTTGTGAGACTGACCCTTTGCAACACATAGTGGTCGTCAACTTCAATGTTCGTCAACACCTGGGTGGGAGCTTCTAGCACCTCGCAAGTGAGGTTTTGAAAACGCATCACAGGAGGATCGACGAGAGACGGCGGCTACACTGGGCAGTGAAGGCCTAGCGAGAGAGATCCCCTTTGCTGTGACAGCACTGACAGCACTGCACGAGTACCACGAAATGGAAGGCGCATGATACCACTCCGCTTCTGGGTGCACGCAGAAACACTTGTCCTGACATGACACTGTCATGTCCCGCTTTTTCAATTATGTTGCAGGTGTCGCCGATGATGTGTGAATTAGTGAAGATGCTTTGCCACCAACGTGTAACAGTATGCTCAGCATAAAGAGAAAGGGCATGACCTCGACGGCTCGGTGCGCCGAGGATGCCGTGTCCAACATGAGCTCGCACTGCGCTATCGCCTGCCAGGCAACGCTTTGAGATCTGGGTGTGTCGATGCCGTCGATTTGAGGGCTCTTGCTCACGGGTAGACTATTCGGAGAAGTCGGGCATTTTGGAGTTTGCCCGACACTCCCTAAGCACAGGCAAAATTCGGAGCCTCACCCGGGGAATTTACCATAGTGGGCCATATGCACACCACGTGCCAGCATCTGATGTGGCATCTCGTGATGCAGAGTACCGAACCTGCCTGAAGTGCGACTCCCTCTTTCGTCTCCAACCATCGCCGCAAGATAGGACGAACCTCAACACATGCACTTCCCAAATCCGCCGTCTGGCCTCCAAGAGCTCCGGCGTTGAGACCGCCGGAGGGTCAAGGCCCCTGAAAGCAGCAAGAGCCTCGACGAGCGCGTGCGGCATGAGACCACCACCGCTCTTCACAAGAGAAGCACATTCGAGCCGTGAAATCCAACATCTTGACCATGCGCTGCGGGCAATCGGCCTCCACGAAGAGGCCTTGTTCGGCTAGCCGGGTTCCCCGATGAAGCACGTCGTTTACATCACACACCATGGCTGCGAGGGGCCCTTACTCCGGCAGTGGGGGAGTTGGCTGGAACATGCTGAAAGACAAAGGAGTTGTCTCAAAGAGGATGAATGTGATTTGGCGGGACTGCCTGTAGTCAACAGCCTATACAGGCTGGACGCAAGCACGGCCACATGTTTTCTAGACAACTTAATGCACATTTGCAGTATTGCGTGTATGTACAAACACACATACATACATACACATACATACATATACATACATACATACAGATAGACGTACATACGTCTATGTATGTATGTTCGTATGTTTGTGTGCACATTGGAGTGTGTATATGTATGCAGATAAAAGTGTGCGCAGCTACGTATGTATGTACGTAGGTATGTGTATATATACATATCAACAAATATATACATATATGTATATATAGAGATAGATATAGATATAGATATAGATAGCCAAGATGACCATACATTAATGCTGACGACCTTGCCTCAAGCTGTGAACGTGTGCGGCTGTTGCAGCTCCGTGCTTGAGCATGGCGTGACCATTTGCGTGATCACCTGTGAAGAGCTCACCGGCCCGACGATCCCTTCTGTTCGGCGTCTGCCCCGACTGCCCCTTCCACTGCAAGCTCCAGGCGGGGGATCGCGAGTGTCGTTCAGACCGGCGGAGGCAGCAACCATCAGGGGTGTGCGGCCTGCGAGAGGGTTGTGTCTTACGAGAGAGAGTTTGGGCCGAAGGCTTCAGGATTTCCTCCAAACTGAGAATCACTGTCATCCATCAAGAATCGCACTGCAGGCAAACCAGCAGTGCCTTGCTTGTCGATCAGCCCAGGATGTGCCTGCCCGGCACTATATGACTGTATGCCGCAAGCGGCGATTGAGGGTTGAAAAGTAGTTACTGATGGACCTTACACCATCGGCTGCTGAAAGCCCTCGTGGGCACACGCACCACGAACCAAGCCTTCAAAGCCAGCAAAGCTTTGGCCGCCTGCATGCGTGGATGCTGGCAACTGTTACTTTCGATTTGATTCTTCAGTCACCGATTCGAAGCTAACACCGGTTCGTGTCGCAAACTTTGATAGAAACATCCAGCACCAGAGGTTCGCGTAGTAGTGCGGTTACGTCCCTGTCGGTTGAGAGCTTCCCCCAGCATTGCGATCAAGCTCAGCTTGAGGTACATGAGTCACGTCAGAACTGAGATGAGACTAGAGATGTATGCGGATACAGCATGCAGCCCGGTCACGCAGTGCCAAGCTTGCACTAAGCCAAACTGATTTTGCACATGCCGCTAGGGTCAGCCGGCGACAGCACAAGCCGACAGGAGGTCTGCCCCGCCTCATGTCGGCCTCAGTTCCAGCATGCATGACAAGCGCGGCTTGGCAAATGTCTACACCGGAAGTTGGCGCGACTGTTCGGAATCTGTTGGGACAGCCTGTTGCTAATCACGTTCTGAGGCAGATGGCCCAACCGCGCTGCGAGGTGCAGAGGGGTCAGTCCTGAAAAGTCTTGACCGTTGACCTGTCGCGCAGAATCGTCTTGTCTGCGCGTGGGAGGAATCTCGACTCGAAACCTTTCTATCACCCAAATCCCTCCCAGCACCTCTCCCTTCAGGCTGGCGATCAGCCGGAGCCTTGCTCGGGCGTTGCGGTTCAGAAGCCGTGCAGTGGAAGGCTATGGCTATGACTTGCCTGTTAATTTGCGACCTCGGACTTTGCGTTGTCAAGCAAAAGCCTCCTCCATATTCTGGCGAGGCCGTCCAAATCGGGCACCGCACTGCTCTACCCAGCGTAGCTCCAACTCGTTGATCTGTTGGATTGCGAGTGCACGTGGCCCTTTCGGAACTTCCAGACTATAATCTTTCAGTGCGAGTCGAGGCTGAGAGGCCTTGACAGGTGCAGCTGATCACCATTCTACAAACTTAGATTGCAAACACGGCCACTGGGCCACTGCTTTGCTGATTGAAGTCTAAGCCCAGAGCATGGCACAGGCTTCTTCCTGGCCAGAAGCAGCTAAAGCCATGAAACCAACAGGATGAATATCCGGAGATCCTGAGCCTGGCGTTCGCATCAGTCAGTGTCCCTTTCGCTTTGGGATCATGTTACATCTGTCTGGTCAGGTGCTTAAACTCTAGGCTCATCTTTGGTGTCCAAAGTCCGAAAGTTTAACCTGCACCGGGGCATTCAGGAAGCAAGCTTCTGACTGGAGTCGGCTCCTCTTCGCCGATGCACATGATGGCGACGTGTGCACACTGACGTCCCTGGCATCAGATGCTTTCAGCATTCTGAAGAACGAAGACACTAAAACAAAACTTCCAAATTGGCGAGCCTGGCCCACACCGTCACACTGAAAACCAGCAAGTAACGGCCCCCAAACGTGACATTGATGGAGCTTTAAGGACATGTTCTTCTTTAACTCGAAATGCCTGGGCGTCCCGAAACTGGATGTTGGCTAGACCAGTCCCCATGCCATCGCCGACCTGGGGGTATGCACTGACTACTCGTGCAAGGAAGCAGCAACTTCGAAATCTTCACAAGCAAGAACCACGTGCGCCCGGTCACGAATCACATACTTTGCAGTCCCCGCCCTTGGCAGGGCGGAGAGTTGCAAGGACGGGGTTACTTGCACTCAAGGTAGCACGAAAGGGACAAAGAAACGCCACGTGCGGCAAAACCCCAGTACAAAAGTAGATCAACATAACCTCAAACCAACAATGGAATCTCCGTGTCTCACGACAATACGTGCGAGGAGGAACTCAAACACAGCTTCTCCTGGTCCCACTCGGGCCCCAACTTGGACCAACTGGATCACCGACATCCGATCATTCGCGCCCACAACGCGTAAGAGCTCCTCTCGACATCTCTCAGTGACTCGAGCTCGAGTCAGGACCCGTCAACTCCTCTCAGATTGACTCACATGCAGTCTCGGCAGTGCCCTAGGGCGAATGGCTCCAGATTCTTGAGGATGTTGAACTTGGCATCCGCCTTCTCCGCCCTGCATTGCAAAAAAGATCGAAGCACCGAGAGCACAGAACAGGTCTCAGAAAAGCAACAGTAGGCTGACCGCAACTTGCAAGCTTCACGGAAGATGCAGAAAGCCGACAATCATGCTGCACGTCTCTGAACAGAAACCATAAGCGGCCGTGGCAATGCATCCGGGAAGCTCTTCCAGCATCTCTTCACGCTCCGGCGTGACTGTCCAATCTTAGTGTATGCTTGCTTCCATGGGTGAAAAGTGCAGGTGCAGCATGCCGCACATGGTGAGTCCGAAAGCTGCCTGCGACAGTGCACAGATCTACACCCGACTCGAGGCAGGTCCCAAGGTCTCGGATCACAACCACTGAGCATAGGGCTGATAATGGCTTTGACAATTCGAACCTTCCGGTTCCTGACGGAAACTAAGTTCCTTTGCAAAGGTGGCTGCACAAACCGCAGCGCAATTCACTGCACAACAAATTGCTGCTGCTATAGTGCTAGGATCGTACATCTTTCTGACCCTGCAATCGCGATGCTTAATTGCAGGCCGTTATTTGTTGTTGCAAAAAAAATTCCAAGCCTGGCCTGACAGCACTTAAATGAGGAAAAGACTGCGAACCCCAAGCCCTGTAGGCACTCCTCGCTGCCACCATCAAAGCAGTGGATCCGGAAATATCTGGCTCCTGACATTCAATACTTGGGTCTCCGTCTTGGCACATGTACTGGTGCAACTTCGATGTGATTACCGTCTATCTTCCCTGCCACGTGGCTATGGGGCTGAGTACACGTGCACGCAAAGATATGCGTGCATGTATTCATACCTTACCAGGCGTATGTATACCTCTGTGTGTATGTATATTTGTATTTTTTGGCTCCCGCTTGGCTGTCTGGCGACTACACACATACACGTACCCCTGTCTCTCTTTCCTTCTGCCGGGCTTGGGGGTCGGTGATCCCGACCCGCAGACCTAGGCCCGACACATCCATGTCTGCCCACTATGCCTCGAGATGAAGGCGAAGGCCTGCTGTGCGGGATCATGTCGGGGATGTGTTCTTTTGGCTCCCGATTCCTGCTGCTCAGCGCGCTGGGAGGACAACTTGCAACATCTGTGCAGTCTCCCAGGTCTCCCGGTCGTGTGCATCCTCTCGTTGCTATGCAAAACAATCCTGGCTGGGCACTTGAAACTGTAAAGTCTCTTCCCTGAGGCAGTCACCGCAACCTTGGGATATGTCATTATCGCGGCGAGACAGCAAGACTCGCTTTGCGAGCTTGTGTCATCGATCCGAGGAAAATTCTGTAATTACACGGAAACATACACAGAAACAACAGATCCGTGGACAAATGTCGGTATACAATGTGTCGGCAATCATTGAAAGTGATGTGCCGTTGCATCGCGCCTAGACTCCTAGAACTGACATGCTTTGTTTCCCTCATATTTCTGGCACGACTCGGAAGCTGTGAAAAGGGCTTTCCACAACTGTGAACCACGATAAACAAATGTACCGAGAGCACACCACAGCGTGGCAAGGCACGCTGGCGGCTTAGCTAGGTTGGCAGGCCATGGCCAACGAGAGTCAGAAATCATCTCCTTAGTCACCGACCATCAGACAGGCAGCTTCACCTAGTCATATTACCATGCTCGTATTTAATCAGCACGGACCAATGCACGTCGCGTGCAGACAGTGCAGCGAAACATCGGTGCAAGTCAACTCGCGACATGACTCGCTATAAATGTGCCTGAACAAATCCCCCGGATGCAACAGCCCAAGCCGCTGCAGCAAACTTCCACCAATGCAATCCGGAGTCGCTGAAAGTAGATCATTTCAAAGTCCGATGCGCTGGTTCTGGCGGATGTTGTCGCTTCGTCCTGAAAATGAAACTTGGACTTGGTCCCAGTGCTTGATGCGACCTTCGTGGTCCGTTCCGGTGTCATCTGGCATGTCAGGGCAGGGTTCAATGATTTGTGCTGGGCGCCATTGGGTCTAGACCTCAGGCCAACTTGCTCGAAGGGGTTCAGCATCAAAGAACGCGGCAGAGCCATTTATCCGCGAGCAGAGACGAACTGCTGGGAGAATGCGGCTTCCCAATACCAGTACTATCAGTAGATTGGCTCTGACTCCAGATGCCGACGACCCAAGCCCGGACGCTTGATCAGCGGAGGTCCTCTATCGCAAAGCCTGAGCTGTAATGACTTCCAGCGCGCTGCTGCCGGGCACGTGTGATTCGTCTGAATAGGGCATGTGATCATGATTCGGTGGTTCATCGCTGCAGTTCGCATTGTTCGCACACATGCTTTGTATCGGCATGTCAAGCTCATGAGGGCGTGGTGTGTGTCGAGATTGACATGCGGCCGTGTCACACCATGTGGCGCAGATTTTCTGGGAGGCAGGCAAGAATACATACTTCACGCGACTGGCACGACAAATCAGCCTCTTGGTCGGGGATCCCACTAGTTTTGGGAAGCTTGCTGCCAGAGGGGTGTGACAGTGCAGGCGGCTACCAGCAGTGCCTTAGCCGGCAAATTTGCCAAAGCGCCGTCATCACACCAGGAGCTGCGGACATCCGTCATGGTCTCAGTGTCAACGGCCTGGTTTACAAAAGCGCTTGTTCGCTTGGACATGGAAACGAGCATGCCTGTGGCTGGAATGACCTGGTCGGCGGCATGTCCATTTGCGAGTCGGGGCTCATACAAGCAAACGTGCCTCCTCAGATACTCGGAGCAAATCGTCGAGCTCTTCAAACGGCCAGTCGTTCAAGTCGAACGCGAAATCCTTTCCCGACGCCGCTCAAATGGGCACAGCAGGAAAGGCAAGGAGGCAACAGCGGCGACCGAAGTGCGAAAATGCACAAGCAGTGACTGGTTTCACAAGATCATGTCCCTAGCAGAGTGAAGTCCAGCAAAAGTCCACGACACTCCTCAAACAGAACTTAGATTTCAATTCCTTGCTTGGCGTCTGAGACTGGCAGGTATGCACCCTGGACTCAGACTGAGCATTGATTGCAAATGGACCGTCGGGACCGTACACGGCCTGCTGCCAGACGGATGCTATTCCGATGCTTCCCTCGTCCAGCATCATACGCATGCGACTCCTCGTTCTCGAGCTCGTACTCTTCCAGCGACATAGCTTCGCCGCTGCCTTGGATACTGAGGTGAAAGCAAGAACCGCAAAACCACACCTTCTTTGAGCCTCAGCCACGTGCCCGATGTGGAAAACTCTAGTCTCGTCCCCTACCTGCCTCGCGCTCGCCACTTCTTCCGCCCCGCCGCGCTGGCGAGCTCTCGTGAAGCCCAGACGAGTCGCTTGAAACGGGCCTGCGCTGGGGTTCGACGCTGTTTGCATCCGGGCGATACTTCAACCTTCCACAACATCAGGAAAAGCTGGTAAGGTAGGTCTTGCACAGCAGTAGTCAGTAGTCGTGCTCCAAACAACGGCGGCCATGTCGGTTGGAGCTCACTCCTGAACTGAATCCTCCACTTCAGAAGGGCGACGACCGCCAGGGGAAGGAAGCGAGTCGGATGACTCGCCATGCGAACTTTCGCAGCCTGTATGTCAAGACACGACACCCCCACAACACACCGTCCGGAAGAACATTGCCGAAATTGTTATGGCCACTCATGCAGGGAATTAATTAAACGATGTAAACCACGAAATAAGCACTGCAGCAAGGCCTCACTGCCCGTCTCCACATCAGGGTGCAGCTGACGTGCCAGCCTTCCTTTGTTGGCAGGCCAGACATGCCTAAACCAGTAGATGAGTAGCTGCGGCGTGTTGCACATTTAACTTTGCGTTCACATCTTGTCTGTTGACGAGAGCTGACCTGAAGTCCGCACACGCGCATGCATGTGCTGCCTTGTCTCGATAGACAGAGGATAGATAGACACACAGACAGACGGACGGACAAACAGACAGAGGGATAGATTGACAGAGAAGAATCGGTAGGTCGATCGATTGATAGTAGGTACATGGATAGACAAACAAATAAATAGATCGGTCGATAGATTGTAGATGCATTGATTTTTGCCTCCTGCATGGCCTGGTACGGGAAGCAGGGAAATATGTGACATAGTCGTGAATTCATCCCAATTTCAAGGAGATATCAACTGGGCAGTTTTCCATCCAATCGATCATGCATGAATCCCGCTGAAGTTTTATCGCAGGATTGCAGTTCAGCACCGTCCTGTTCAGTGCAAAGGCTTCCAGATCCTCATGACATCACGCCTTTATGAAGTTCTGGTGACGCAGGCGAGTCTTTGTGATGACGCCCTGTCACTTGCAGTTTACAGCAAAATGCCGCTCAATTCCTAATTTCACCATGCACTTCCTTTGCAGTCGCACGATGCATTTATAGACAGATAGATAGATGGATGCATAAATGGGATAGGATACGATAGGACCTGATAGGATTGGCTTGGCTGAGATATGCCAAGCGAAGATACACTACACTTGTAAAAAACAAGGATAAAGACAGGATCAGACAAGATCGGATAAGATAAGGTCAGATCAGACAAGTTAGATAGGTAGACAATGGTAGACACATAGACTGGCACTTGAGGGGTGCAAGAGTCGAACAAAGGAAGAGGGAAGGACAGGGAAAGAGAGAGGGAGAGAGCGAGATCAGCGAGAGAGCAGCAGCCAATCCACCAGCGAGTGATCCCGGGATCAGGACATCTCGCCGCACATGTTACATACCGAGGCGCTGAATGCTGGCTTGATTTCCTCGTCGTCACAATCCTGGCGAGCAAAAACACGTAGCGAAACAGACATGCCACCGTATCAGTCCATAAAACGTCAGAACTACCTCTTTCTTGACACTTCAAAATTTACCTCGTGGGCGCAGAAAAGCATGTCCTGCGACAGGCCGAGGACGTCAAACCTTGTTCCAGCCGGAAGCGATTCTCAGAAAGCACGGTACGAAGTCCCACAAAAGAATTTCTCCCCGGTTGGCCCAGCTCGACACCTGACTCGGACCCAAATTGATGGCCCCACTGTTCTCCTGAATTCCTTGCTGTCCTACTTGTGAGTCTTACAGCCCCATTCAGTCGAGCTCGCAGAACAGCAGAAGCTCAAGGGTCCGTCAGGCCCAGAAGCGGGTTCTCGAGCGTGGCAGCTCTTCGGCGGGTTCTGGCTCGTTTGCTCGTAGCTCGGCCACAGAAAGACGAGCGAAGGCATCCTGGAACCAGAAAAAGCAATCGTTGCGTTGATTTAGCGAAGACTGTTGAGCCCTGGACGCCCTGCAGAGACTCCATGTAAGGACTTGCCGATTCCAGGCCACGACCAGCATGGTCTTGAGTTTGAAGGGATGTTCTTCAACTAAAGCTAAGTAGGCAGGCAGGCATTTGCTAAAGGACAGTTTTTTCCGATTCCACATATCCGACCATTGACATGGGTGAACGCAAATTGGACCCTCTACCACTAGTTTTCACTACCACCCACGCATTCTTGACCCCATGCATGACAAGTGTTCACGCACAACCAGCAACCCGAAGCCCAACTGAAAGGCAGAATGCTAAAGAGATGTTGGCGGTTCGACTTTTCTTTCGCATGGATACCCTATGGCAAAGCTGTTCACCATAATCTGCGGTTCTACGGCCTGACAGGTTTCGCCAAGGAGCCCATGTTTTCCACTTGAGGCACCCGTGCCCTCGCAAAGCAAAACAGCCAGGCCTTATTCAAAGTCAAGTCAAGTGTGTCAGCAGCAAAGAAGCTGCACAAAAGAAGTCTACGAGAACTGAGCCAGATGATTGAGTCGACAGCAGCAGCTGGAGAAAGAAGTAGCAGCGTTAGCGTCTTGCGCAACTAGTAGTAGTACAGCCTGCTGGGAAAAGAGGTCCGATATTCGAACAAGATAATCTTGGTTAGCCTGTTCTTTTTTGCGGGGGGGGGGGGTGTCTACAAGATTGCAGGCAAGCTTGGTTCGCTTGGGGGGGGGGGGGGCAGATTGACGGTACACTGTTGCAAATCTTGCTGTAGTATTACCTGGGGGGACCCGCAATCTAGATATCATGCAATCTTGCACCGCTTGCACCACTTGCACCGCTTGCACCACTTGAGCCACTTCAGGCCCCACTTGCACCATGCTCCTTCACGAATAGCTACAAGTGCTACAAATGGTGCAAGTGGCGCCAGCGGTCCAAGATTACGTGATTTCAAGATTGTTGCCCCTCCTCCCCGTAGTCATTAGCAAGATTAACAAGATTGCAAGTTGAGCAAAATTGGCTGATTGGCTGCAATCTTAAGATTAGCCAAATCTTGGCCTATTGGACCCCCCCCACCCAGGATTAGCAAGATTTGCAAAGTTTTGCTCCCAAACAGCGCGGGTCGTTTCCCAACACGTCGTAGCAGTAGCAGTAGTAGCAGTAGTAGTAGTAGTAGTAGTAGTAGCAGCAGCAGTAGCAGTAGTAGCAGTTTTAGCACAGTGTGTGGGGAAAAGAGGGTCCGATATCCGACCAAGAACGTACGCGTCAATCTTGCTAGTCTTGCTTTTCCAGGAAGTTCAATTGACACCAAAATCTTGCACCACTTGGGGGTAGTATAGCTGCAGTGGGAAGTGGCCGTGGCCGTGGCCGTGGCAGTGCCAGTCGCAGCAGCGCCAGCAGTAGGAGAAGCAGTAGGAGAAGCAGTAGCAGTGGCAGTTGCAGGGGCAGTAGTAGCTGTAGCAGTAACAGCAGGAGTAGTAGTAGTGGTAGTAGTGCGTCGTAGTAGCACTAGCAGTCACTAGCAGTTGTAGTATCAAGACGACAAATAGTAGTGGCAGTAGTCGTAGCGCCTGTGGTGTTGATCCTGGTGGGTCTGTAGGTCGGTGCGTAGGTAGGTGGATAATTGCTGTAAGTAGGTATTATTAGGTAGGTTGGTAAGGAGGACCCGCCTCTTCTTTCTCTTCTTCCAGAACATGTGCTAGCTCAAGCACTGTGAACCGACAATCTCACCTGGTGATGATGTACCTTCCACGCATGCGTTGCTGACCAAGTGGCTGTCGGGCAATGGTGCAGCAGCAATCCAGCCAGGCCGGCGACCTCAAGCTTTGTCCGGGCAAGCGATGCCCTGACTTTCGCAGTCCCTGCGGCGCAAATACCTTATAAGGACCCTCTTCGTTCGGCCTTGCCGCTAAAGCGAAGAAGGCCGTGAGCTCGGTGCTTCCAAGAAACTGCCACTGGCAGCCGTCTGGGCATGTTACTCTTGCGCACATGCGGCAGCAGCACGCGCAGGACGATAAGCAGATAGGATCCGAAAGCTGAACATCAGTTACTTGCGCAGCCTGTGCTTTTGAAGCTTGGCTAACCTGCAGTGTATCAAGACCTTTATCTACCCACAAAACTACCAAAGGTCAAAGCTGGGTGGACATCTAAGACGAGCTCAAGCGCAAATGGCTGAGTTGAGCCTTGCTTTCCGAGAAGCATATGCAGGAAAAGCGTTTGTCATGTCAACTGCTCGCTGTCTGCATGCAGAACTATAAATGACACACCATCCGCTGTTGCTGATATATCCAGTAGTTAAAGAACACGATACAGGATCACGACAGGCAGTCACCCAGCCAAGGTAAAGACAGGAAAATCATCTGAGCTAAGCTTGACAGATGCAGGGAAGAAAAGCTTGTGGAAAAAACATCTCCTCCAGAGGAGCGCCGTTCTCTAGTAAGACGCTCACCTCAGAGCATGGACTCACAATGCCACCATCGCAGACCCGAGAGGCCAGATACCCACACAGAGGATGACGTGCTGTCCAGGGGCAATGTTCAAGTGGCCCAGCAATGCTGCTACATGGAGAACTGTCCCACCAGAAGCATCCTCACGAGGCAAGATGTGTGAGCAGAACTGTGGCAGCCACATCAACACTGACACGCAGTGCATGGCTTTGTTTGTATATACGGCAGGCAAGAGGTTACAACCTCATGAGTGACTCAACGCAAAGGCACGAGTCACCGCAGTTGATTTCCAAATCTCCCGACAAGATGCGAATAATACACATATACTCATATACTCGCTTGTGAAATGGCTATGCCACTTGACCAACCCAGGTAATCCCCATTAACTACACGACAACAGGGAGTAAATCATAGAAATAATTTAACCCTCAAGGCTGTGCAAGCAGAAACCCCGGAAATTCCCGGAGGCAGCAGTACTGTAGAATGCCATGGCTACGGTGATATGGCAAGGCTGCCTGATCATGTGCCCACGGTTTCACGACACGGAGATCATGTATGTATAACCGCCTTTTACTTTTTTTTTTGCAGCAGGCCTCGTTGTCCAGCAGCCCGCCTTTTACTAAAATAGCAACCGAAAACGGCACCGTAGCAAAGTAACAGATTTAGTCATTTGAATCCAAATTTCCGAAGTGACTCAAGATCGCGAGGTACAGCAACTGAAACGTAGTGCTAAGAACCAGCCACCCGGCATGAAATACGGAAGGCAGTAGGACGGGATTACAATGAGATTCGACAGCCCCTGTCCTTGAGGGTGAGGTCGGCCTTGGCCTGCAGCTGGCATAGACAAAGGCAGCGAGTTGAGTCTTTTGAGGATTCGTATGCCAACCGACAGCGGCTTCCTTTCAATCTTAGGCTGCAGCGATCTCTTCAAAACTCGCTTGAGAAGGGAAACACTTGAAGCGCCACTCAGATACTTCGATTTTCAAGCTCGGCATCTGACAGCAAACGGCGGATAGCTGCATGTAAGTGAAGGCACGATTAGCCGTAGCCCGGGTGGACACCAGGCTTTTCCTGTCGCGCTGGTGGACGTCGTCGTTCGCACAAATTCATCCACACGATCTCGAACTCCAGCCGTGCTCTGCTGACTCACCCTGAGACAAGCTCCACAGCAGGCTCTTCCGAATCAGCATGCCGACGAGACCGCGACTGCACAAAAGAAGTTCCGATCTCCGTGGTGAATTTACTGACGCGTCAACGGTCCTGGACATCGCGGAGCAAGAACTCGTTGCAGCCATCACTGTCCGGACCAGTGTCAGTCCAGCAACAAGCAGTAGCAAGCAGCCAGGTCAACAGTGTCTGCAGGTGGAATCTGAGGCGCCCTGCGCTACACACAGGATGAATTTGAGGCGCCCTTCGCGACACACAAGATGACATCAAATGATGTCTCATGCCACATCGGTTCTAGCTGTTGCCGACAAGGATAGGGCTGTACTCTGCCACAGAGTCCAAGCAATGTTGTGCACAGCCGATATCCTCCGGCAGAAGCAGTCAGAAGCCGAGATAGAAAGAGATGGATAGACTGATGGATAGAGAGATTGAGATACATAAATATATACACTGAAACCGAGAGAGAAACCGAGAGAAAATATACACATATATGTATATATATATATATACATATATATATATATAGATATGTGTGTATATATATATATACACATACATGCAAGGACGCACGTATTGGTTAATCCTAATTCTTGGGACAAAATAAGCGAGACACATGTCCAAGTGGTCCAATTCCAGCCCCGTGCTGCTTTCGTCCAGACACGGTGCACTGGCTAAGGCTTACTATACATGACAAGTTGAACAGCTTCCGAGATGTCGATATCCCGGAAAAGTCACCGATCAGCATGAAATCTGACAGGACTGCACCACGAAGCCTGCTTCAGATTGAACATGATTTACCCCTCCCTCGGCAAGCCCCTCGCCCAGAGCCGCCGTGTCCTCATGGAGGCAGTCTGTGCCTGCACTTGTAACATTGTAAGGGCGATGAGAAACAAACAAACGGTGCATGCATACATGCATGCACGCAGCAGCCACTTGCCACTTGCTCAAGCTGGCACATTACCATAGACAAACATGCTTCGTTCATGGGTTATCGGGGGTTGCTCCCCTTGTTTGCTTTCTCGTTTGCATTCTTCTTGCGGGGGGAACACACTGTTAGACAAAAGCATATGCATGCAAATATGTTCGGTGTTTATGTCCTATTTCTATACTCAAGTGTACATGTATATGTATCTATTTAGTTTATCTTTATGTACACCTAGGATATGTTGATGTATGTACCCATGCTAGGTATACATGATGGAGGTTAGAGACATTTAGAGACTCATCAATGCCAGGATTTTACCATTGAGCGACAAGGGTTCCTGTGCAGGAATCCGGCAGAACCTTATCGGCAACATCTTTCTACCGTCTCTCTCTGCAAGACAACTCGGCGTTTTAAGCTTTTCAGGACTGATGGACATGACAAAATCAGCAAAGGGACAGCGCAAAGTGCTTACGTCTTCGCACATCTTGGCCATAGATAGCACCTCACTTGACATGTTCATGCCGCGTCTTGCCCTGCTGTCCTGAGTTGCTGCCCCTAAATCTGTACTTAGCCTTGCCAAAAATCCAGACTTGCACTATCAATCGCATTGCTCGAACAGCCAAGTCTGTTTTTTTGTTCTCTAAGTCTGGACCTACAGAACTTTGTCGTAAATCACTGCATCCAGGCACCGCTCTCAGACTCTCTCGGTCCCTAGCCAGGACCAAGGGATCCATTGCGGCTAGCGCCGTGTCCTTCGTCGGGAGTCCAAAGCAACAAAGGCTTCTTCTCGGGTGGTGTCATGCATGATGGCGACATGCTGAACCCGATGGCCCATAACATCAGCTCATCCTTCATGTAGTACTATATAGTAGCACCTTTATCCAGCTGTCCACTCTACGTCCGATGCCCCTTCGAGTCCGGGAAGAACACATATAGCCCAGCGAGGGCCCAGGGCCCAGGAGTTCTTTCCAAGATTGCATAGAAGTTGTTGTAAATACCAAGATACCGGTCCTTTCTTATTCAAGACATGCATCGAGACGGGCATTCGCAGCGCGCCATATTGCGAAGTCCGCCCAGTTGCTCTTCTCGAATGCTGCCGACTGCCCAAACTCCATTACCTCCGAAGTAGGATCGGTCGACTGTTCAGTGCTGGAGACTTCTGCGGTGGGCCTGGGCCATACTCCTGATTAGGATATCAATGGCAAGCCACATCCAGAAAGGAAAAGTCTTTTGTTTGTTTGGGGGTCGAGGGCTAAGACCTTGCTTCAAGCCAGAGCTGTACTCAGACATTCTTGCGGGCGGCTCTGGACTCCACCTTGACCTGCAACAGGCCCCTACCACAGCGTCCCACAAGCACATGAGCCCTAGCCTTTCTACAAGTCCCAAAACGTCCCGAAGACCGAGTGCCCCAGCATATCGGCCTCTGGGGGCTCCTGCCTTTGCTCTGCGCGCTTCGGGGCGTAGCCGTCCCACTTGTCCCTGCTGGTGCTGGTGGTTGGTGTCTTCAGGTTTCGTAAATTATTACTATTCCGATGTATGAAAGAAACAACGAGAGTGGCAGAGAAAGACAAAAACAACTTCTGGCCTTTTTTTGTCACTCGTGCTCGATTTGCTCAGACGAGGTCTCGGGGGATTTACAGTAGAGGGTGTAAACTCACCATGGGCACATTGGCGCATGGCTCTTGTGGCCTATACACACGTAGAAAATTCAGCACTGTCTCTTGAGTGTGAGTCTGTGTCTGTCTTTCTGTCTGCGTGTGTGTGTGTGTGCGCGCGTGTGTCTTTGTGTTTGCGCGGGTGGCAGGGTGGTCACCAAACAAAATTGTTCGGCCCCCTCCCCTGCTTCTCATGGGCCTGTAAACTGGTAAACTCGATGTAGAGTAGTACCTAAGTACAGAGATAGTACAGTAGCAGTAGAATAGTACCACAGTAGGCGTAGTCGTCGTAGTAGTAATAGTACAAAATCCAGCCTGCGGACTTGCAAACCCTCAACGACGCCTCCAAATCCCTTCAAAAGCCAGCCTCAGAACCAAGGCCCATTAACATCCTTAGAGAAAGGCTCCAGATGCCTTCAAAATCGAGTTTGGGGCCTCCTCTTGCTACTAGTATCCTCTCCCGAGATATAAGATTGACTACTGGCAGAAAGAAAGCACAACAAAAACACATCCGGCCGATGCAAAGCCAGTCCTCCCTATCTTCCCTTTCACTGAAAGAAGGCAAGCTAGCACCAACGTTCTGCCAACACCCTTCGGGTCAAAAACTGTCTTTGGCTCCGCTACAGTACAGAACAAAGCTTAAATTTGGAAGCCCAGCTGCAGGAAGTTGCAGACCTGCCGCTTCGAGGACGACTTCACCTGGTGGATCTGACATCTTATGTAAGAGGAGCTAGTTCTGCGAAGCATCCTGCGTGACGAGGCAACTCCCACGTGACATAAAACACATTCCATTCGGAGCCTATCCTGCAGACACGCGACTCGCACATGAAGCATGGTGTTGAAGGTGAGATTCCTGAGGCGGGCTTGAAGACAGGTCCAGGAGCGCCCCACCTACTTGTCCTGTCATGTGAAGAAGCTATAGTGTATTACGAACTTACAACCTGATGTTCTTGATACACAGTAAGGGATGGTCAGGAACGGTTATCCTGAATCCATGTTCCAACCTGTTCGAACTTACTGTAAGCTTTGACAGCCTGCAAAGAGATTGCATTGTGTAGCCGCTTCTCTGGGCGTCACACTTTCTGAGAAAAGGCCTTCTGATCTGGCGTCAGCTAGCACCGATCCTGAAAATGCCATTCGAGGCTCCACTGCGCGCGGAAAGCCAGAAGAGAATCCTCCATCCTGCTGTGAACGGTTGAGGCTTCGATTGGGGATGAGAACTGCAAAAGGTCTCAGGCTACCTGCATCTGAAAATGGACTTTGCTCTGGAGCAGTTGCGAAGACTGACTAGCCTGATTAGACACCACAAACGAGCTTCGGCATCAAGCCAACCACTTAAAAGTTGACTCATGTCCTGCAGATATTCGATGGCACGACTTCCCGTCCCCGTCCTAGCCGCAAACCCACTTCAGGCTACGCATGATCCACATTCCGGAAAACCACCCATCCTCTCGGTCACGAACAGGAAATGGTACCTGAAGTGTCGCTCGTATAGATGATCAGGACATGAGCAACCAGTGCTACAGCACGGGCTAGCATTCTACCACCTGGAGACACTTGTCTGTAGAATGAGCATCTAGATTACGGTGCCATGCTTACATCTCCCTTCTTCCGTAACTGCTTCTCTACACCATGGTTCTGCAGGAAGCTGCAAAAAATCTGAACCCATGGCCTAGAGAACCTGCAGAAGAAGCACCCGGCTCGGCCTCGAGATGAGATCCGAAATAGTTTGGTTGGACCACAAGGACAAGAACCTGTCAGCAAGGCATAGATGGGAGCCGTATATACGCTGTCACTTCTCATCTTGTCAGTGGTGCGAAGAGGCTTTTCTGAGCTTTTCTCCGGGTCATACGGACAATACGGCAGCACCCCAAGTACAGTGACAGGCAGAGTGAGGGGCGATGTTTGCTTCAAACAAATAAACCAGAACCGCCTGGCACTCGATGCTTACAGTACCAAGCAGCTCGTACTGGAAATTGCTGCAGCACGTCGTGAATTCCGTGAATCCTTTGATGATTTTGATGCGGACGAAACGGACTTCGGCTACTCTTATACAGGCTGTACTAGCAGCATCGAAATCTCGCAGTCCAAGAACACACGCACACACACACACACAAACACGAACACGAACACAGTCAAATATGGAAAACGAAACAACAAACAACATCGACTGCAATTTGCCGGAAGCCAATCCTTGAGCCATGCTCAGACCTGATCAGAGCCAGAATACTGTTGCTGTCGCACGAAGACTGCAGCCATGCCAGCTTGTCGTCTGTGCTTGGTGGGCTGGCTTCGGTGTAACTTTCCTGGGGCGGGCAAACACTTGAGGAACTTGGCAACCGCTCGAGACTCATGATGTTTGCTTGGGGCAAGCACTGTCGCTACCACCCCGTGCGTGAAAATCCGCAAAGCCACTCCGAAACATGTCGGAGGCTCTCCTGGGGGTCAGCTCCTTGCGAGCGACAATGGACAGCGTTTTGGTCACAAAACCGAATGAAAACGGATGATATTCCTCTCCTCCTCTCTTTAAAACGACACCTATCGGTCATGGTGTGAAGTGTGAACAAGAAGACTTGAAAAGCCGCGCCGTTGCATGGTTTCAGAGCAACAAGGGGATTGGTCCACAGCAAGTGACGAGGGAAGCATGTGCACAAGGACCACGGCGAACCCGTGAACATCGTGCTTGAAGACCTAACACATGTGGTACGCTCAGAAAGCTCTGGGCAAACACAGCCGACTTCTGAAGTGGTTTGGCTCTAGCCAAGCATCATAGTAAAAGGAGGACAGGCAGCGCTTGAAAGGGTGGCGGACACCTCGCAATCGATGCTCAAAAGGTGCTGTCAAGTAGATTCAATGCATCTGAACCTCTTGGGCTCTCCCTGCACGGCCCCAGGTCCCCTTCTGCACCGATCGGATGCTTTGCATCCTGCGACTTATACATGTGTGGTGCCGGCATGAGCCTTTAAGGGTAAAGTACATATAGTATCCAGTGCCGCAAAGGGTGCAGATGTTCGGAGATAGGAATGAAGCAACAGGCAATGCTTTACAAAACCACTCTGGTTTGTTTCACTGCTCACCAGGTTCCGACACTGACGTGCGTGTTGAGGATGCAACTTCCAAATGCTACGAAACAATATCCCTGCCCAGAAGCTCGCAACGGCCAGGAACTCTGGCAGCGTAGCTCTCCAAACATCCCAGGCTACACGCGGAAGTACATGCCTCCGACCAGAGGGAGGCTGTTGCACTGTACATTTTCGTGTTGATATGGGAGTCAGAGTTGCCACTTGCATTGGCTGCCCTCATGGACGACGAGTTAGACGGGCATCGCAAAGCCATGCCTGCTGGCCAGCATCACTCGTCTCCTAAGCTGACGCAATCTGGCGATATCTGGCACAGGTAGCAAGCGACATTAGTATACCCCATAGCCCCTCGCCTGGCACGCCAACTTCCTCCAGCTGAAAACTCGCACAATGCAGGGTAAAGTGCAAACAGGCTTTAAGCGATCAATGGTCTTCAGTTTTGACACGCACACAGTTCTAGCACGTCCATTCTCAAGCCGTCGTCTCGGGAAAAACAGAACCCCATGACTTCTTAAAGTCTGGCCGCTTCGACAGGCGGCGCCGAAGAGCCTTCTCGCCAGCACCAGTTGGGACGAGATGGCCCAAGGTACCTATCGCATTGACGGAATGACGGCTTGCTACCAGGAGCACAAAAGAGAGGTGGGGCACGGCCAATCCGCACGAAGAGTGAGGCCAAACTCGAGGAGCTGGCTTTCGGCACGCGGACCACGACCCTAAGGACGTAAACATGCGGCCGTATGTAAAAGTGGCGGCCCTGGTCTGGAACTGTCTGAATGCGACTGAGGAGCACATGCCGATTCCGAAGCCTCGCAAAGCCACTACTGACACATAACGTGGCATGGCAGCAGGATAAGAGTCTACGGTCATTTTTCACCGTACCAGCAGTCCACCAGGGACCACTGTACAGCACAGCTCGAAACACGAATGGAGCCCTCCCCCAAGCACCGCCCACCTTGTGTCCCGCTGACCCTTGGTTGGAGTCTCCGTAGCAGGAAGCTCGATGGCACGCATTCGCGGAGTATCCCAACCTGAGAGCTTTCGGCACTAATCGCCGCACCCGGCACCGGTTTAACCGCTTGTCAACTTTGCAGACCCTGCAAGATCGGAAATCCCTAAAGACAACATCAATATGCGAAACACTGTAACACAGCACGATGTGCCTCGGAAGTCGCCCAGGAGCAGATAAAGCCTGGCCAGGCCTGCCTGACTTCGTTGAGATGAATCTTGACAAGAAGGAGAAGTGAGAAGGAACGCAAACAGTTCCAGAGTAAAGAACTTGAGACCCAAAGCCCAAAAGCTTCCCGAGTTCTGCAGACTGCAGTCAGAAACCCGGCGTGCGTGCCACTGCCTGGGTCTGATGAACTCCCGGCAGTACTGAAAGGGCAGCCTTGGCTCTGCTCAAGGCACGGTTGGAGAGCAGGAAGGAGCCGACACATCGAAGAGGTTTCTGGGCAAAACTCACAGTCTCAATGCCCTAATTGTGTCACTATCAATGTCGTACGTCACACATAGATGCCCAGCAGCGGGAAAGTCGCCGGTATGATACTTCTCAACCTCAGCGATCGAGCTGAAACAGTAATGGCGAAGTTGCTCAGTAATTGGTCCCTGAACAAATCGGGCCTGTGCGTGCGTTCGTGCGGGTGGGCCTTCAGCTGCTGTCGTTCGTATCTGGAGGGACCCCTTTGCAGGCAGCTGGAGGGATTTCACCTCCTTTCACCTCCGATCTCATTTTCGAGCTGCGCACCTCCACTCCGACTGGCATAGCGGGTCTGAAACCTTTACCCCTTGTGCCGATCATCACACCACAATGCACAGTATGCCATTCTTTGTGTCTGGCATGTATGGTACCAGCATGTTCATCTCATTCTGGATATCATCATCGTCGTCGTCATCGTTCACATCATTGCTTCTCATGAAATGTCCCACCTGCAATAAGTCACCATGATGATGAGCCCGCAAGTCTCTGTGACTGCCTCTCTCTCCGTGCATGTGTGTGTGTGTCACTCGCATGGCTGGCAGCCAGTGGACACGTTTGTTTGTTTGTTTGGCTGCTTGTGTGTGTGTGTTTGTTTGTGTGTGCGTGTGTGACCGTCTGTGTCTGTGTGTGTGTGCGTGTGGTTGTTTGTGATGTGTTTGTTTCTGGGTGCAGTGTGTATGTATCCAAGACGTTGCGCACCAGAGTGCAAGTACTAAAGAAACTCCAAGAACAGCAAAGCAGCCCCATGGGCAAGATCGGGGTACGTCTGAATCCAGTCTTTGATTTGCCACCGGTCTTCGCGTAGGCACATTACCTGGCGGAGCTGAATAGCTGCATATCGGGGAAAGTTGGACCATGTTCATTGACATGCCGCCCTGTGGTTGCCGAAATCTCGTGCCGCAAATTCCGCATGCCAGACACGTAGTCAATCTAGTCTGGACCAGATGCGTTGCAAAGAGGGGACACTTATTGCCTGGCCCCGAGCCTCCACTCCTTGCCGACAACCATCCTGCGCCGCTGGTCAAAGCTTGTGCGACTACTCCGCCTACGTCTCAAGAATCATGCCGGGTAAGGGGCCTGACGGAATGGAGATGTAGCCTTCTTATAAAACTTCGGGAATCACTGCTTCGAACAAAACCTCAACGCATGCCACGAACACAACCCCAGGCAGTTGCGCAGAACATCTCAGACGACTCAGCAAGGTCCTGCACCGACTTGCAGGGCCCGACAGGGCCGGCGGATTCAAAGCAGCCCTCACTGTAACACCAGCCCATCTCCACGCACCACCTACCAGGAGCTTCAAATCAAGCAGTTCTTGCAAAAGCGACAGGAGTTGGCAAGATGGGTGTCAAATGCCCAGGCTTAGACATGGCTCTTTGTCATGAGGCCAACCGCTCCGCACAAACTGTCATGAGAATCTCACAGTCCAGTGTACAGCGGCCTGTACCGACCCTTGCTGCTCCCAAGGCACTCCTTGGTTTTGCTGTAATGGCGGAGAAAGAGTGGAGGCCAGATATCCATGGCTTCACCAGCGTGGACGTACCTGAGGCTTGCACTCTGTGTGCAATTCTCCTTTGCATTGCTCAAGGCGAGCTGCAAAACCGCACCGTGGTAGTCCAGCCCGGAGTCTCGGAAGCGGCCCAACGCATTCGGAAACCGAACGACCTCATTCCTGAGTCCGTGTGTGTTTTTCGGGCTGATGGTTGATGCCCCATGCTCGGCCTAAGCAGGCTGGAGATTGACTAGTGTACCAAGGCTTCATAGCCGAGCTCGGATCTACAGCACCGCCAGCAAGTGCCGGACATGTCGTTCTAAAAGTGTGTCCAAGCATCTTCTCATCCCACTCGTGCACAAGCCTCGGTCGAGGGCAATGAACGGATCACAAAAAAAAGAGAGAGACAAAGGCAAAATGATCACAGTCTCAGAGTCAAAATACTTAACGCCGTTTATACGACGAGTACTACTGTAAGGACTTGCTGGAGCCACTGCTTGATAGTTAGCCGTGACCAGGCGACACGTCCGGGACCCGAGGTCGCCTTCGTCGGATTCGAGCAGAGCTGCGAAGACGAGGAGGAGCGTCCTGGGCGTGCGCTCCCCAGAAAGGACGAAAGGAGGGGTCCGAGGTCCCAATGACTTGGGAAGGGATATGGAGAGGCTTCAAAAGGAAGGAAGACTTCGGGTGTCAATGCCGAAACCTACAACCAATCGCCAGGAAAGTCCAAGCAGCAAAAAGTTCAAAAGGCAGCAAAAAGTTCAAAAGGCTGCCGTAGGGGTTGCGCCGGAGTTCAGGTGTGGGTTTCGAAGGCTCACAGTTTATGGTGCTGGGCACTTGCACATCTCTCGTGTTTACTTCTGTGTTTCTACAAGAGATGTACTTGCACGAAACTTCCTTAGGCTAGGACAGCAGCCACCTCAACCAAACCCCAAAAAGCAGGCAAAATAAGTGTTCCTAAGCCGCCCTATGATGAACCCGCAGTGTATTGAGTACTGGGGAGTTCCTTCGAGTCTCTGGTTCGGCACAGGCAATCCAGGGTCGCTCCCAAAAGTCTCTCGGCCAACCGAGCGTGGTGACAGTGACGGAATCCGGAAGCTCTGCCTCCACCCAGCGGCCACCGAAAGTGAAGCTCCGGGGATCCAACAGCTCCTTCCTGGGCTCTTGGAAGCGGGGTGATCTCGTGCGATCTGGGAGATCGAGGGCGCCGCTCCGGTGACCGTGCCGCATGAATCATGAATGCTGATCCGTCTTATAGGCTTAGTTTATAATATGACAGCAAGACATACCACTATGACGCTATGATCCAAGGTAGGGCACAAGATCAGGCAGGTTTCAAGGGCCTCAGCGGGGAGGCTCTGGAGCACCTCTCCTGGCACCGACCAAGCGCCGTGTGATGGGCCCGGAGACAGAAGTCATAGGAGTTGTCGCTCTCCTGCCCGGAAGCAGAAATTCATTACCGTACTCGGTGTTCGGGGTTGTGCAGGGCCCCTCCTGGCTGTCAGTTGTCAGGATCTCTACGCTCTTGGACTCGCCGATCCTCGATAGGCTCTGGAAGCACCAGGTGGCGCCCAGATGCCGGACCGCAAAGTAGCGGTTCAAGTCCTTATACGGTCAAGCAGCAAGGGTTTGAGCAGCCAAAAAATGAGTGCTCTCACGAGGAAGGGCCTTGACAAAGCCAACCGGAAGGCCCGACGCTTCTGGAGGCGGACCCCTCGTGTCAAGGAACGTGCTCAGGAGCTCCTTGAAGCACAAAGCCACCTGCCGCTTCGAGCAAAAAGCAACACAAAGCATCAGAGCAGAGCCACCCTATGGTGATCTGGTGTCTGTATATGCAGGGACCCAGTCAGGCATGGGAGGCAAGCCATGCATTTCATCAATCACCTGCCCAGCTACGAGTAGGTGCATCCATACTGCGAATCACTGCGAGGCAATGCGTCTGCCTTGCCCGACTGGCATGGCATGCTTCTTGTGGTAGTGCCGCCAAAGCCGGCAGAGAGGCTCAACCGCAGATCGATTTCAGCGGAGATGGGTAGGCATGCAGGAGCTCTGCAGAGTCCCGAACGCTGCAGCCTTGAAGCTGCATCAAGGCCCGACGGAGTTTCAAAAACAACCCCGCCTCTGGTCGCACACGCTGCCGCGCAAGCGCCCCAGAGATCGCTGGGGAAGGCCAGTGACATGGGAATTGAAGTGGTGACGAGGGCATACAGCGGATGTTGGCGCTCTGGCGTACTGTGCTGGATTGAGTGGCATGTGTTGCACGGTGTAGCCCAAGCTCCAGGCTGCAAGTATCTTCTGCAAGCTGAGCCAGGAGAGCTGCAAGTAGCATGCAGCTAGTCCGAAGCCAAGGATCTTAGCTGGCCCAAGCCTTTCGAGATGCGCAGGGAACGATTCGACGACACCAAAGTCAGGTTCGCCAATTCTTATTTACATAATGCTTTGAGACACACATAGCAACAGTTTTCTGCTTTGCCTAATTACTCTATCTCTGGCTTTCACAACTCTGGGATTGAAAAGCTTTGCTTGGCTCATATGCAATGTCAACTTCGATCACTGTTCGAGAATGTGCTGACATGGTAGTATCCTGGTACGAGGAAAGACTGCCTTTGCCTGCTATCCTGACTGTGCTGCAGGTGGAGATCGTCGAAGCAAGCTCTGGTCACGTAAAACAACAGTGCCTGCCTCCACCAAAAGTTCAGCAGCTTCAACTGCCGTCTCCTGAGAGAAGAATTTTCTACAGAACTGCAGGTGCTGCTCCGCAAGTAGGAGATCGCTCTGAGTGTATATAAAGGACGACACACTCGTGTCAATCAGAATTACATATTCAGCTGTTGGAACAAATCGTGGACAGTGGCTACCACTGCGGATTTTTTCCGTCTTGGAATGGAGTTCGCGTGCCCTTTGTCAAGGACGGTCTCCGGATAAGGACTGGAGGGGGAACAAACACCAATCTGGCAGCAAGGAAAAGCACAGAGCTGGCCAACTGCTGGCCAATGGTTACAGGGCCGTGATGGTCGCATGGTCTCACACGAACTCGCACCTTACAGTAACAGTCAAAACGAGGGCCTCTGCATGTGGCGAGGCCGCTGCAAAGAAGATCGGGCGCCAGCCTGCCAAGCTCAAGAGTACGACCGTCATCCAAACCTCTGCCAAAACTAGTAAGTGTGATACGGTGTTTGGCCAGTCGAAGCTCCCTTTGCAAGCTTCGCAAAGGCTGCCGTAGAATGCATCTGGCATTCCGCTTGAACCGCCCCTAGAACCGTCTCTGAGTCCACGTATCTGAGTCGAACAGAAATAAGATCATGGAGAACCACAGGTTAGCCAGGAAGTGGGTGCATCGACTATCGTCGATTGGCGTACAGGGCTTCATTCATGCCAGGCCTCGAAATGTGCCCGTGGAAAGGCCGTAGTTGACACCGATGGTTATCTGAGCAAGAACATGGGGCATTCCGTCTTCCTCTCGTCGCATACACATCCATGGAATGAAAGAGTATATACACGCTAGAGAAAGTGCGACCCAGCAGTCTCAAGTATCTCTAAGCGCTGCAAGCCATTATAAGAACATCTGGGAAGGTAGATTTTGAAGTTGGTTGAGTTAACATTTCGCACTAAAGCGCTGCAGAGGGAGTCAAACAAAGCTCCGCGTGTTGTTGCGCAAGCGCCACACACAACCATTGATTGCAAAAACTCTTGGAACATCTACTGTGTATAAGTGTGGTGGTGCAGCCGTTGAGCCCAGATAGTGGCTTATTGTACAGGCACCTGCTCCGGATGGCTTCTAGTTGGATCATAGTCGAATTTCAAAGATGACTGCAGGATTCCCAACGAGGCCCCAGACAATCGGCAGGAGGGGGTCACGCCCAGGATCCACGTTCCTGCCAAACAGACAATGATGGCAGGGCGGTGGGACAGGAAGGGGGGACTTTCGGGTACCGTCTGGAAAACCTTGACCGCACTGGGTCCTCAGGGCCCACATGCCACACAGGCCTTCCGAGGCCCTAGAGATCAGAGGTGCTGAAGGAGCAACAATCCAAAGCTCACGCAAGCCGGCCCCAGTCACGCAAAGCCGAGCGGTTTGCACAAGTTAAAGTCATTGGTCCAGTTTGGTCCCGCAAGAAGTAAACTCTGTAAGCTTATACGCAAACTTGAACCATGCAGTGTGCAAGCTTTGAAGGCCAAGGCAAAGCTGAATCTCTCGCATGAGGCAGGACTGGGAGGGCGGCGGGTGGCGGGAGTGGTGCATTGGATACAAGGCGCTTGCAGGGCTTTCGGGAATTGGGGATCATATCGCTGATTCTGCGAGGGTATTTGGTGCTACAGGATTGCATCTTGCAACGTCGGCCTACGATGGCACGATCCAGTGCTAACCATTTTTCGTCCGCGGAAGCACGGAGTTCCCACGTCTCCACGCGTTTGCTGCAGGTGTCTTCGTCCGCCGGAAGCAAAGCGATAACTGATCCCGCTTTGAGGGCGCTTGTACATGCGGCGTCGAGGATCTACCTGAGACAGTATGTCATATGGCTTCAAAAACCTACGGCGTCCATTCCAGCTCAGAACTTCACGAGCTCCTTCCACTCCTGGCATGGCTGAAAGCCGACGGTTGAAATGGTGCCATGATCTCAACCGCGCGGATTGGCAAGAACATAGCGACTGAACCCGACGGGAATACCCCGACCCATGCCAAAGCGGAACACCCCCTCACCGGCTCCATCGCTTCCAAAGGCCTTCAGCAGCTCCTTTGCAGCCTCGAAGTCCTGGGAGGCTCGTCCCCACTCCTTAGAGCCAGCAGACGTTGCGGGTGTCGAGCATGGAGATGTTCAACACAGCATCTGTGCTGGTTTGACAACCCACTCTTTTGCCACTTTCTCCAGCTTTACACGTCTCTGTTTGCGTGAATGTGTCCAAATATAGTTGTACATTGTACATGAGAGAGCCATTCTGCAAGGCTGTAAACGGAATCGTGTACAGACAAGGATATAACACCCGCCACCCGCCCACCCCACAAGAAGAGCCAAGACTCCTTGTTGCGGCCATCCACACCCACGGTGGAGATCTTCTGGGAGAATTCTCGGGCCTTGTTGTAAGCCGGGGAACCCTCGGCACCAGAGAAGTACACCATGTCCTGCCGAAGTCTGAGTGCAAGTTGGGGCTGGCCTATGTTCTGCCACGGCACATGTCATGGTTTCACTGCTAGTTTCGACAGTTTCACCTCCTCGAAAACATTCGTCCTGCGCGACGGGTACACTGGTCTGTATGCCTCTTTACTCGGAGGTGCTTTTGGATCGTGGAAAATCAGGGACTGCATATAAGGTGAGAGCGAGTTAAAAACACAGCACATAATGGAAAGGTTTCCTCTACCAGCTTGTGGTGTCGGAGCTGAGGGGCCTCGGATTTGCTTCGAGCTGACCTCGGTTGGGACCGGGTGAATGTACAAACCCCAGCAATGGAGCTGGATCCTGCTAGCGTGATACAGGGACTGTATTCTCAACCCGACGCATTCCTCGGTGAACACAACGCTGCCGCGATAAGCCCTTAGACCGGAATCCGTCGGATCTTGCAAAGACCCTTCCAGGAATCCCTGAAAGTCGAGCAGCAAAAACCTAACACTAAACATGGAGACCTGCACCGCAAACCAGAAGCACTAATGCAACAATGCTCTGAAAGTCTCTCTCGCTCTCTCTCTCTCTCTCTCCCGGGCATGAGGGCGGGTGAGCGCCCCCGGGCTTCAAGCCCACCCGTCGTATTGACGGACACGGGGGGTGACGTAAGAACAGTGAACATCGTGGACGCTAAAGCTATAGTAAATGACCATATGTATATACGATGTTCTCATGTTCCCTGGCAGGACACTCTCAGGCAAATACCATTCCCCCGTTCAGGACGTTATGTATATGAATGCATATGATATAAGGGGAACTTTGCCCTGAGCGAGGATTTTCTGGTAAGTGCCAAACTACAGGACTGTTTGATAGACCTGGGGACTGCATTGTCAAACAAGTATAAGCACAATACTGACCTACCTACATAGACTTATCTACACCATTCCACGTTGTTTCCCCGTTTTGGTCTATCCTCAAACGATCTCTTATGCCCCACTTCTGACAGTGTAAAATTACGGTATATATCATACTATCAACTGACATGTTTGCTGAGGCCCAGACGGTCATCCATATAGCTTCTCCCCCGCTCGGAGAAAACAAAGGCAGGCTATTAAAGACTATCTCTTCTTCAGCACAGTCAGAGAGGCAACATGCGCAGTCCATGCTGCCCCTCGCGCATTATCGCGCACTGGGACAGATACAGGCAAAACAGAGCTTCCGAGATTTTTTGTGGATCAACGCACAGGCCCCCCGACCACAAGCCCTGTAACACTAAACCCCAACCCGCCTCGAAGGCTAAGGGGCAAACCCCCCTACAGGATGTGCTGATCCCCCATCTCAAGCTCAGCTCCCGACTGTCGCTGCCCCGTGTTGGGGCGCCCCACACGTCACTTAACTGCAAACACTTGACCCCCTCCAGTGAAGCAACACAAAGGCATACAACTGCAGACTGCCAAAACCACCTGTGTGTGTGCGAGCAGCCGGGGAATCCCCCAAAGTTGCAAGTGAAAAACAACTGTACAGCTGAGGCCCGGGCAACTTAGGTTCTGCAACAGGACAGTAAAGCACACACTAGCATGAGCCTCTCAATCCCCATTACACTAGAAACTTCATAACTGGTGCCCCCTCGCAGCGGTTGTTGGATCCCCCGGCAGCTCTAGTCCGAATCGTCAGTACGGTAGCTCGCGGGGACCCTACGGCGGCTCCCCGGCGGATCCAACAACCGTCGTCTGGCCCCTATGGGGTATGCTGCCGCTTCCTCCTCCAGCTGTTCCTGAAGGTAGTGCGACTCCGCTATTTCGGTCGCCGTTGGACCGCTACTGTGGCTTGGGGCCCCCTCAGTGTCGGCATCTCGCTCAGCGGAGGACGGCACTTCCGGTTCGGCCATCTCACGGCGAAGCCCCCAAAAGATTGGCTGTGTCGGCACATTTGCCTGACTATCTGCCCCCTCGGGTGGGGTTGCCTCCGTGTTCTCCTCGACGGTTGAGAGGAGGGTGGCAGCCGGCTCGTCTAGGCTGGCGGCGGTCTCCACCTCGTTGTTCGCGGCCGGCTCGGTTTCAAGCCCTCAGTTGTTGGGGCGGTCAGGTCACTTTGCGGTGGCTCCCCGAAAAGGCTCGGCAGCAAGTCGTCTCTATCTTGGCTCTCCAGGTTGCCCTGGCTGTCCACCAGGAGGGTGCTTCTTTCCTGTCCTTGTACCCATTGCAGAAGTAGTGCGAGAAGGTCTCGTGTCGGCTCCCCCTCATTGGCCGCCAAGAAGGGGATCAGGTTCCCCAGCTCCTTCAGGTAGCCCTTGAGCTTCGCCAGCGGGGGGAGCCCCCCCAGTGTTTCTTCCCCTTTCTACGTTGCTGGCGTGGACTGCTGGAGGGACGTACAGCAGCTCCAAGGCAAGGCCCCCCGCTTCTTGCAGCAGGCTGGCTACTGTCAGCAAGAGAGAGAGAGACACAGAGAGAGACACAGAGAGAGAGACAGAGAGAGAGAGAGAAAGAGAGAGAGAGAGAGACACAGAGAGAGAGAGAGAGAGAGAGACAGAGAGAGAAAGAGAGAGAGAGTGTGTGAGAGAGAGAGAGTGTGCTCTTCCACTGAAAGACCGTGACTTGAGGTGAGGGCCTTTGCCATACACTCTTCCCCAAAGCCTAAACTCTGACAGCCAGCCGTTTCTGTACGTCTGCTTCTCTCTCTCTCTCTCTCTCTCTCTCTGGATCGCCCAGTGCGCTTGGGACGCGCTTGGGCGTGACCTCTGTCCTGTAAATGCCATTCATTCACTTCTTCTCTTTCTTCGGCGTTTGAAGCTTGAAATCCACATCATCCTTCTTGCTGCGGTTGTGGGTCTTCCCGCTCTTGTGCGAGTTGTTCGATCTCTCGTCCTTCACGTCGCGCTCTTTCTTGCGCTCCCGCCTGTCTGCGATGTCTTGCTTGCGCTCGCCGCTTCCCACTCACTTTCGTCTGCTTCTTCTGAGAGGTCGACCCACCATGCTACCTGCTTCCACGTCTTGCTGGCTGGCTTGCTCATGCCTTTGATTTTCGAAGATTGTTTGCACTGCTGCTTTGAATCTTTTGCCTCTCATCCTGTGCTCTCCGCCCCCCTCGTGTTTTCTGTGGCTTTGGCTCTGGCTGCTTCCTCCCCCTTGGGCTTGCCGGGGCCACCCCCACTGCTCGTCTTCCTCTTCCAGTTCTGCTGGAGCTGGTGGGTCTGTGGTCGGTGGTGGCAGTGGTGGTGTGTCGTCTGCCGCGGTTGCTGCTTCAGGGCTGCTGGTGCGCACGTTGGTTGTTGGTGGGGTTTGCTCGCGGTCTGCTTCCGCTTGCGGTGGTGGTGCCGTGTCGCCAGCTGGTGGTGGCTGTGGCTGCAGTGCGCGCTCCGGCTGTGTACTGCTGGCTGCTGCGGCCTGTGCTTGCGTGGTCACTTGGTGCTTGGCTCGCTGCCAGCGCGGCTTGCTCATGCTGGAGCTGGGTTGTGATGGCTCGGCGTCTCGCTCTGCTGCCTGTGTTGGCGGTGTGGCCATCACCTCTGTCGGTGGTGTGTGGTGGCTGGCCGCCGTTGTGTCAGGTGGCTCTGGGTCATCGCTGCATTGGCTGAGGCGGGGTGAGCTGATGCTAGTCCAAGGGTCCGTCGCTGCTGCTTCAGCGCTGCTAGGGGTGCTCTCTGCCGAGGTGGAGGCGTCTGTGTCCGCTTCCGTCGGGTCTGCTGGGGCTGCCTCGGCGCCTTGGTGGTTGCTGGGGCGCGGGGGCTGCTGGTTCAGGGGCGGTGCCTGGCTGGGGCGGGGTGGGTGAGACCGTTGCCACGATGACTGTGCAGCCGAACTTGTGGTCCCCCCCGTCTGTTGTGTTGCTGCGCTTTGGGTGGGCCCCACTGGGGTGGGCCGGATTGGTTGCTGCAGCTGCAAGGTGTAGCCATGTTGGTTGGTGTGACTGGCCAGTGGTATGTGTTGTGGCTGCCCCTGCGTGCCCCCCGTGGCTGGCAGCTGCTGGTAGGGCGAGTGCCCCGGTGCGGCGAGCGTGGGTGGAAATTGGACCCCGGCTGCCCGAAGCAGGGACTGGTAGTGGAGGTGGAGTGCCAGCAACTCGTCGGCGTGGTTTTGGGGTGGGGGTTGGCCGCCTGGAGGGCTGCTGGCGGTGCCATTTGCGTCTGGGGGAGGCACATGGTGGGGATGCACGCCAATGGTGGAGTGGGGGGGGAGTGCTGTGGCTGCTGTTGTGGGGGTGGTTGCTGTGGCCCCCCCATGGCTGCCGGCTGCGATTGGCGAGGTGGTGCTTGCTGTGGTGGTGTACCTGGTTAAAGACTCTCTCTCTCTCTCTCTCTCTCTCTCTCTGCCGTTGCATCCAGAGGGTCAAGCAGCGCCAGGCAACGCATGAGGTTAAAGCCCTTCAGGCCCCTCACGAAAGCGAAAAAGAGCAAGCCACCCGTCAAGCAGCAGATACATTAAACCCTTCAGCCCACATGAAAATCCCCTGAAGGCACAAAACTCCAGACTCTAGGCGCTAAAGCCCCCGAGTCGCACGTCCTTACAGCCACATTGACACCCACACGGTACTAAAATTGTAATGCTTAAAATTTAAAACGCTTAATTAAAACTACACTGAACTCAAAACAACAGGACCGAAAGCGGTAGTACGGTGAAGCTGCTTACACCGCTGCTGACACACCCCCAGACCATCCCAGACCTTGACCACTGTAGGCGCAGTTTCATACCCTAGCACCCCTTACAGACAGGCAACCTGCAATGCCCTACAGCTGTGTACCGCTGCATTGAACTTCCAGCCCCAAACCTCAATCCCGTCAGCTACAGCTACTGAAGAAACTGCGTAGGCTTAGCATTATGAGTGCCTGAAGCCCTTGCAGCCTTACAGCTGGAATCGTGGACCTGGGTCCTTCTGGTCCTGCCCTCAAGGAACTGTTCAGTCGCATGAACCCTGTATGGTGCCAGCAGGAAAAGCAAGGAAGTCTCGCTCCAGTATCTTGAAGCCCGAAAACCCCGTTGTGATACTAGGGCCGGTCCTGCTTGAAGCCAGCAGCCTCCTGGAGGTTGGAGGTCAGCTGCTGCGACTGCTTCGTCTTGATGTAGAACTGGCAACATCGATGGGATGTCAGACGGATTGGTTGGAACTGGGGTGGCTTTAGGGTCCGGCTGGCTGTCGTTTGGACTCTCACAACTCCCACAAATCCAATGCAGCTTCACAACAGCTCGCAGGTTCGGTCAAAGATTCCGGGCTCGGTCGGCTTAGCGTGTCTTTCTGGCGCATTCATTCGTATTTGGCGTTGAGGCTTGAGGGTCTCTTGTGAGAGTGATTTCAACTTCACTAGACTGGGTATCCAGGTTGGGCAACTGGTTCAATGCACTGCAGGGTTGCCTGACTTAGTGTCGAGGCCTGAAAGAGATTTCCGAAGTAGCTACGTAGCAGTAACTTCCTACAAACTGCCAGGTAGCTTCAGATTAACGATAATACCTTCCAGGCCAGTCTGAGAGTAAGAATCTGATGTCCACATGTTGGGGCCGACCGTTTCCCGGGATTGGAAGGAAGCATTATGGCAGTGGTCTCCAGGCGGTCTTCTGGTAATACGTGGTCTTGGTGGTCGCTGTGGACGACGTGATCGTCAAGGTGCTGTATCACTGTTTGGGGGAATCTACGACGGCAAGATAGAATTGAATTAATGCGATATGGGGTTGTCTGCCATGACCTACCATGTGCTTTTGTACCACCCACCAACAACGCGTCATGCTTGCAAACAGACAACAGCATTGTGCAGGATGATGCACAAGAGTTGCTGAGCACGTGATGAGACGTAGAACGACAGAGCAAAAGCAGATGATCCTGTCATGACCTTGTTCAGTATAGTATTGGCACAACCTTTAAAAAGCCGTGTTCCGGCCGAACCATTCCGTGGTTGCAAAAAGGTTTAGGATATTGCGGTGCAAAATTGGGTCGTGGCTCCCCAACGTTGGGCGGCAACTTCATAGCACAGGCAGATTTTTCACAGAGCAAGAAGACGTGCTTGATGTTGACGTATTGTTTACGTCGACACAGCCCCAAGTCGGAGCCAAGGCACGGCGGTCTTGTCGAAGCGCTCGAAGGAGTTCGCGAGGGCCTTCTTCCTGCGTGCGACCTGCAAGACCAACTCGGTGTCTTCAAGTCTCAAGCTGGGATTCCCAGAGTGAAGAGGCTTCAGTGTGCATGAGGTCGAGAAGTTCCCTGGTCTCCACCCGTGCCTCCTGGTCGGTGCGGGCCTTGTAGACGGACTCGTCTCCGACCTCGCCTTTGCTCATCACGCTGGTGCTAACCCCTGTAGTGAAGCCCAGTACATCCCTTTCGCTTTTGCTGTTTCGGTTGTCGGGATCAAGATAAGCCATCACACAACGAATGGAGGTTATGGAAAGAACAAAGTCGCTGAACTGCGAGTACGGGTTGATCGGGTTGTCGTTCTGGTTGTAGACGTCGGAGACGCCACCTGACAGTCGGATTCTTGCGACTCGTGACAGGCCTTATGCTTTTGTCAGGAATACAACCTGCATAGCAAGTTGTCACCAGTGATGTAGGCCACGTGCCCTTTCTATTGCACCACCGGCAAAAGATTACAACCTCAAATTGTTGACGGAAAGTTGTGGCGCTCATCGAATAAGTTCGAGTTGTGGGCAGATTGCTTGCGGTGCGGGCATGATATGCTCATACAACCTTCGGAGAAGAAGCCCGAAGCCCCGCGCTGAACTTCCATTCCATGTCAATGCAGCAAAACATGCTAGTAACGATTCCGTCAACATCTGCAGGGCACGAATTCACCTGCAGGGATTAGATCTAAAGAAAAGGGATTCCATCGGAAGATGCGAAAAAGTATTTATGAGCTCGAACTGCATCTGGAATGTCGGTGGCGGCGCAGCTGGCTTCCCAAAAACAGATGGTGGATAGCTGGATGGCGACCAGTAGGCTGGTGAGGTGTCTACACAAGCTTTGAGAGAAGGCCGACACAAGCAATCACTGGTCCATGTTGCAACAAGTCTCCCCGCTATCTGCAGCGAACGTTCCCACGAGACTACGAGAGCAAAAGCATCTCGCGTCCAGAAGGCCTGCTGACCGTTCGAACCTCTGCAAAAGCCTCAACCCAGCTCCAACACCTACGATTTCAATGAGGTCAGCCCAGGAACACATTTATCTTCACTGTCAACGTTGCACTCCATGGCATTGTAACGGTGGTATGACAAAAGCATGGACAGAATCCCGAACACAGGCCCTTCCCACAACCCCGGCTACCTCCAAGGCCAAAGAAGGACAGCTTCGGGCTCTCAGCCTCTAATGCGGTTAGACCGGGCTGGATCAGGCCTCGTGGTGGTTTGTTTGATGCTTTGTTGGGGGGGGGGGGGGGGCGTTACCAAATCTTACCAAATCAAGGCTCCGGAACTACATAAGTTTAAAGCTTGGGAAATTGGACCCTGCGATTTCAAGGACCGCGAAGGGGTGCGAACGGCGGTCTTGAGGTTCACAGAAATCGTTCCAAATGGATGTGCGACGATCACCCTCTTTCACAATCTTCAGTTCTGAAGGAGACGAGAACACCACCGAAGAACTGCTGGCGTAAACCGTCAACTGCAAAGGGCAGGCGTGGGAAAACCGGGAAGCCTTTCAGATGCCCTGGTGAGCGCAGTACGCATGATGTATTCAGCGTCACTCTCCACAAGCACATCGTTCCTCACGGCTGCATTATTGGAATCCGCCAGCTTAACCGGTGCTTCTGGACTTGAACCCCGTCGTTGCATATGCCGCCCCGAACACATCTCCATCACAATCGCAAGCGTTGGAAACACTTGAGAAAAGATGTTCACGGACCTGGGCTGGTCCGGGAGCTGCGACGCTGGCTGCCAGGAGGGCCGCAGCCATCGTTGCTGCGGCCTTCAATGTCAAGTCGCTTCCTTGAAGCCTGCCGGCTTAGTTACAGCATCCCCCGCAACTTGTTGTCTGGCACGGGCCGCGCACGAGTTTCAACAAACGCAGGATGTAGCAGCCCGTGCCACAAGAGGCACGCTGCCCAACAGCGGTGGATCTGCCAAAGTGATTAACAAACGTGAGCACAACAAATGCTCCTAGGGTAAAAGACTTGCAATGAAGGATCCGGACTATTCAGCGTTTTGCCTTGCCGCGTCTGTGTGGGAAGCAGACACGGAATCTCGGAAACGTGATTTAGAGCACCCATCTCCTGACAGAGCACAAAAAACCAATTTCACGTACCTAGCCTGTCTTGGGCAACGTGCCACAACCCCGTGTCTTCAGTTCTCTCTGGGAAGGCCTTCCAAGGCTCCCTGTGCAGAAGGTATGCTCATCGAAAGCTGTGAGGGCACGAAACACTAGCTGATGCCGAAACTAAAGCCATTTGGAACTACCCAGGCCAGCATGTTGCCATGAACATGACTTAAGTATCACAAAGTGCTAAACCGCTTACGCCGCAGCCTCGCCCCTCAGCTTCGGGGTTACGAAGGCATCTTCTCGGCGGAAGAGCCTCAAGCGAGCCAGCAGGAGTTTGCAACAGTCGTCGCAAGAATGCCTCCTGCACACTCAAAGCTCCCCGGAAAATCAATACGATCTTGGGCAAATAGCGCAATTTCGTGTTTGTCGGTGCGATCACCGCTGCGCATGACTACAGGGTGTGAAGAGGGACTATATAGGGCCAACTCCAGAAGCCCGACTCCCCACATGCCAAGCGGCTGCAACACTGACACCACGCCGACCACTAGCAGGGCCTGTCCAGTGTCAGTGGAACAAGCGTCAGACTTGAATTGATCTGAACTGTGACCCTGAAGCTATACATGTTCTCTCGACCTTCCCAACGATGAACCTGCCTTGGACAGCAGCGAGGTGCGAGCCATTATTGCTCTTCGGTTTGGAGGGAGGGCGCGAACTAGCAGATCCAGCTGGAGGCCGCAGCAGCTGCTGCACAAGTACAGCCATCTTCTGCATACCCCGGACTCATGAACAGCTCATTATCATGCAACTGTGGTCAGAAGGTGAGAAGTCTGACATCACCGGAGAAGTCCAGGGAAACTGGCAGCCGAAGTTGGCATCTAGACGTGGCATTAGCCACACATGAACATCAATGACCGTGACCGTGACCATAATCACAGAGGTTGCACGTTCGAACCTCAAACCTGCAAGCTTGCATCCCAAAATGTACGCAGAACCCGAGCAAGTCTCCTCAGCGATGTGCCGATGGGAGCTGCCAGTGCCTCTTCGGCCAGTGTGCACTCGCAAGTATTTTTGAGGCATCTGCAGAAGCGCCAAATTCTGACAGCTGCAGAGCATCACTGAAAGTTGCAGGAGCTTCAGCCCAATCGACATCCCCACACCAAAGTCTTGTAGTTGAGGTCACGAAAGTTACTCAGCGACAAGGCTAGTGGCGCACTGCGACACATCCCGCTCTAAGTTTTCAGAAGGAACACCTGAACCTGAACCCTATGATCATGAAGCCAACAGTGATGGATGCCTCCTTTAGCCTGGCGATGTCGAACTTGGTCTGTCCTGCATCTACCAGGAATTAAATGTATGTCGAATTGTCGGAACGTGAGTTTAACTGTAGGTCAGAGTGCATGGAAGGCATTGGATCCGTTGCATCGGAAAGTACTAGATTTGCAAGGGGTGAATACCGCACCGACCCTGCAACTGACCGGACGTCCTTCGAAGGCTTCCCGCAGCCCCTGGCCAAAAAGCAGGCTTGGCACAGCCCAAGTCTCAACCCTAGGCGGCTTCTTGCGGAGGAAAGACTGCAAGAGGCATGCTACAGCAGGTGGCAGAATAAGCCCTGAAACAGATTGGATTCCAGCGGCCGGATGACGCGCTTCAGCCCCAACACCGTTGCTCAAGAACGCCATGATAAGCCGTGCATGTTAACCTGCGAACTCGGCGTTTGACGTAGGGCCAAGTTCAGCGCCAGAACGGGATTCCAAACACTGAAGCCAGCGCATAAGAATGGTGTGCCGTGGCGCAGACCTGCCTCGATGATAAGCTCCCCGTGTTGTTTCCAGGCAATTGCAGGCGTGCCTCGTCTTAGGGCACATCCGTGCGTGTGGGGTCGCGCGCACACACGACACTGAGGACCAAGAGAGCCGGCTCAGCTCCACCTACAACCAGCACAACTCCAAGGCTTCAGGGATCTGATATAGCTTGATATAGTCTGCAAGCTACAGCAGTACGAGGCCTGCAGAAAAGGTGTGTCGCGCTAGATTTCATTCCAGCGTCCTTGTAGAGGAACACCGGTCATCTCCGCCAAAGCTGCGGCAACTCTTGCCTTGCCATCACTGGATGTAGAGCATATATGGACTTGCAAGCACAACTACTACATAGCCCGTTGCGCCAGCTACCTTTCCTGGAAGCACACCTGTATGCAGATTCGTGCACGCAATATGCCTCTCAAGCGGATGGAAAGGAGCCTGCGGAGGATAGTTCACTCCCGTGATGACAGGCAGAATTCTCAGCCTTGGGGCGGAGCTCACCGGGCTGGGGGCGCCGGAGAAGTTTGGGGCATTTCCGACATCAGACTCTGAGACTCTATACCGGACTCTCCTTCCCTTGATTCAATTCAAGCACCTTTAAGTTTTAAGAAACAAAATGGAAGCAACTAAATACAAAGAGCTGTGTTATCCCCTATTGCTCTATGCCCGGCCTGGGCTGTGGAAAAATGCATCACAGAGAAACTGCGTCGCAAGCTCTAAGCCCGAGATTCTTTGGAATATCTGCATCCAACTTGTTCTGGTTGAGCTGAGCAGCATTTCGGCTCGGCAGCGCCTCTCCAGGAATACAAGAACTATCTGGTTGGGGCTTGGTCAGCTACACTTTGCACCGAGCACGGTGCCATACTGGGTCACGTTTACAACTCAGTCAGCCTTCCAATTCTGCAGGGTACAAATCAAGGGCAGAGGAATAAAACCATGGGCACCTGTAATTCGTTTCAATTTTTGCACCACCTATCCTGTACACTGTCTTGGCAAAAACCTGCCAAAGCCACGTGGGCTAAAACATGTGATTCTGGTATTTCTCAGGCCCGAGTTTTCCCTGGCACGCATTCCCAGATGTGCCCCAACAACTCCCATGCTCTACACTCTGCTGGCAAACCTGTCGAAGCATCCTCCGAACGAGTAACATCCTGCATCGCCATCCTTCACACCCCACACCCTTTCGAACCTCACGGCACGATCGTAGAGGCCCAACTCGTAGGCCCACCTGGCAGGCCCCGCTCGGTTGGCGCCTCTTATTACGAAGAACATGATGTCGGAAAACAGAGTTGTGACAACTAAGTGCTAGCTGTTAGCACTCAGCTGTAAATTATCCTGCGCGGGCACTTGGCCACGGGTATATGGCTTCAGGCAAAGGCCCTCGTCATCAAAGTAAGTGGTCGGTGAGGAACCAACTAGTTACTAGTGCACGAGTGAACTGCACATCATACTGTTTGGTGTCCTCCCTCTTTGCCTTTGGGGGGTTACTTGAAGATAATCGCACTCCGGTCAAAGAGGCGAGGCACCAGGACCAGAGCGGGTCGGGGATCTCCTTCTTGAGCTCCTGGACCCGCTCATGGACTAAAGCAGCAGTGAGTGACTTGGGAAAAGTGTTTCATGCAGGTGTTTTCCTCCAAAGCGACAAGGTCGTCCACATTGCAGGCGATGTACATGGCCTGAAGCCATGTCCCGAAGGCTGCTCACATGCGCTTGTGAAGCTGCAACCATTAAGAGCCGATTTCCCCCGTGCGTCCCGGAGCCAGAGGCAGACTTGTTTTGCTCAGCTTTGCTGGGTTGGCAAACACAGGTTTACACACGGTATGACGCCCAAAGGCTTAATAAGAACGACCGCGGATAAGGAGAGTGCCGAAAAGCTTTGTGCTTCGTTTTGACAGGAGTTCCTGGCTAGGTGAGCTGGGAGGTTTGAGGAGCTTTGGGTGGTTGACCCGAACCCTGGTCAGCGTCGGGTGACGGCTTCCTTTGGGAGATGGGTTTGAGTAGCCGCCCCGCTGCCGGGCCATGAACAAGTGGCGAGTGCCAAACTGCATCTGTCTCCGTCACACACATAGCTCGTAGCCGCATGCAAGGCAAATCTTGAAGTCTGGTGTGCCCCACTTTGCAGTCGTGAAATGTGTGTGCCTGCATGCTGCGAGGTGGGAGGACAACCTAGAGAAACAGTCAGGGACACGAAATCGGCACAAGTCTGCCACTCATTAACAAGTGACAGTCATGTCATGCGGTCATCCCCAAGTTAACCGCATTCCGAATGAAAAAGTAACCCTGCAGCAGGGTGTCCGCTGCCTCCTGCAGCCTGTGCAGCCTGCAAGGGCAGCTTTTTTCGGGAAGACACACCATGACATGATTATAGAACCGGCTGATCTAAGAAGCTCCGCATACTGCTGCTTCAAGCCTCACACGGATGTATAAACCATTCCAGCAAAATATGCAGGCCTGATTTCGTAACGCCTGGCTGCAACAAGGAAGAGCTTCCGCCATCGCGGCATGCAGGCGATCCTGTGAGGTCGGGAAGCTGCACCGGACGAGCCAGTGCATCGCAGGCTTGATTGAGTTCCTATGCTGACCGCAGGTCTGCAGGCCTTCGCTTCGAGACATGGAAGAGTCTCTCGACAGTGTCCGTCGCATCGATTCTTCTCTGCTCCTGCCGGATCATGCTGTCAAGGTTCTGGGTTTTGTAGCAATCCTCTGCCCGAGCTTGACGCTTTACACGAAGCAGCGCATTGAAAACAATTGTCATGTTGTTCGCATGGCACGACAGGTTCTGTTTACAGCGAGTTCACCAGAGAACGATGCCTTTGCCACGCGATATCTGAAGCAATGAACACCAGGGATGCAGGACAATATGAGCCTATCCTGCATGACCCCTTGAAGCACTTTGAGACCAGCCCAAACTCATGGCGAAAGGTCTTGAAACAGAGGCCATGAAGTCCTCGGGACTGATTCTCTTGGGCACCTTTGGCAGCCAATAGTCATCCTTAGCTGCACATCTGGCGAAGGATGAAACCACGACTGCATGTGTCTCTTTGGTCTCGGTTTGCTATGCCCAATCCACCCTAGCCGCCCCACGTAACCTGATGTAACACAAAGCATACTGCCCTATCCATTGGACGATAGGAAATCTAGGGTGTGAAGCCGTCAGAGATGAGTTCTTCAACGCCCTACGCAGTCATCTATCCTTGCTTTCTCGGTGAGCGTCATCGTCGTCCTCGCCATCGTCGTCCTCGATCCTGTCGGCAGAATCTGGGACTTAACATTGTTCGGTGATATGGAAGAGCTTCGATGGAGTGTACTCGCCCTGTATGTGCTTGATAACCAGGCAACATCGCACATCCCTGGTCCCAGCCTAATGAGCTTCGGGTTCAGACTCCGCTTGGAAGGCTTTTGCAGCCCGGTGCGCCGGCGAATCCGCACCTTCTCAGGCGGCGGTCCCCGAGTCTGAATCATGGACAAGCTGCGCATCACTGATCCAATGCGTGGTTCAAATCCCCAGTTGACCCTCGGCTTCTACAGCAAAGCGGGCAGGAAACTTGCTGAAGGCCCTTCAACTACAAAGGGTGTCGATGCTAACAGCAAGATGTCGAGAGTCGATGGCATCACGGCCTGAAGTATAGGCGATGCTGCCATCGGCACCCCTGCAACCCCCCCATCGAAGCATCCCGAAGCCGCCCGGCTCGTCTGAGCCGAGAAATTGAGCATTCCACTCTCATCTCTGGGGTGATGCGTGCGGGACTCACAGGGTTTTGCAACATTTTTGTAGATCCGAATCACAACCAGCACGCCCAGAGGCCCCTCGAGGGCTTGTATGTCCGTTCAGGACGTCACTTGCTGGGAACTATTAGAAGGGTCGTTGGTCTGTTGCGCTAGATATGGTGATCAACGCTGTATATTCTGGTTAGGGGTGCCACTACGAAGAGTCTGACGTGAGCCTGCCAAGCAGTAAGCCTTCGTGAGCCACGAAGCCGTAGGCTACTTGGTGGGGGCCCTCTCACTCATTGCGCCATTGGATCGGTAGGAAGAGCCCGGCCTAGGTCCAAACTCGGATCGGAACAGTTCTGAAGACATGTTCGACATCCAACACACAAAACCGCGCCAATCGTGCAGAGCTCGACTTTTCGCTTTGGCTACGGTCAACAAGCGACGGTTTTACCGTTGCCAAGGTCTACAACTGCCTCAACAGCTCTCGACTCTCAACATTGAGCCCAAGGACATGAGGCCACCGGAGGTCAAATGCACGAAGCACTGCACCCTGAGCGAGCAATAACGAGTGCTGATTCGCAGCACGCAGTGAGTACACGAATGTTTAGAAGCCAGGCACACAGGTCGGACAATGCTCGTCGGTGGCAGATCAGATATTCCGTTCACATCTCCGGCAAGATTCGTCCGTCCCGCTTCAATGCCTGTCTCAGCACTGCAAATCATCGTAGACGGTAGCAACCAGGATACGAATCTCAGCAGCATTGGATGAAGCAGAACTTACATGACTCTCCTCCAGTATCTGATCATGGGTCCGAGACCTCCGCGGCCAGCTTGTCATAGCTGTACAAATCTCGCGACCCCAATGACCTCCTTCTAGAACCGTCTCTTGGCCCCTGCGGTTCCTGGCAAGTAGGCAATCATGATGGGGTGGCGGAGGTGGCAGGGCCAGGGCTACTTTCGGATGAATTGTTTCATCGGTGTTCCGATCTCAGGTTTCTGCTTGCGTTACGCCAGCTGATGTTCCGGAGACGAGGACGGGCCCCAGAGGGTTGCCTGACTTCAGGTTCCGGAGGTGATGAAGGGCTAGACTGTAATAGAGTCGACCAACAATCGAAAACTGACACAAGCCGGCCGCCAGTCTTGCCAGCCCAGAAGTTCGCAAGGCACAAGGTTCGAAGGAATTGCAAGGCAGGGCCCAGAAGGGAAGGACTAAAGGAAGGAATTCAATCCAACGATGAGGTTAATCGCCAACTGATGCTTGGTGTCTTCATGACCTCCGGAAGAGATCATGCCGAACATTCCGTGCAGGTCTATGCTACGTGGGGCTTTGGGTTTAACTCTGGAAACTCGACCCACGATGGCACGATCCACAACACTCGCAAAGTTGCAATCACTTTTCGTCTCGGGTATCCACGCGGATGCTCCAGGCGTCTTCGTCTTTGAGGGCCTTTGTCCGTGCAGTATCGAGGATCTGTACAGCGGTCTTGAGACCGTGAGTCAGGTGACTTTAAAAACATACTGGGGCCATTCCATATCAGAACTTCACGAGCTCCTTCCACTCCTGGACCGCAGCTCAGACCACACTGCTGAATTCGTGAGATGATCTCAGCCGCGCTTCAACAGGGACCCAGAACCTCGTGAACCCTGCCGGAATACCCTCAGACCATCTCAGACCCCGAGACTCTACCCAGCAGCGGAAAGCCCTATATGATTACCCCCATAGCTCCACCGCATCCAAAGGCCTTCAGCAGCTCCTTTGCGGCCTCGAAGTCCTGGGAGGCTCGTCCCCACTCCTTAGAGCCAGCAAACATTGCGGGTGTCGAGCATGGAGGTGTTCAACACAGCATCTGTGCTGGTTTGACAACCCACTCTTTTGCCACTTTCTCCAGCTTTACACGTCTCTGTTTGCGTGAATGTGTTCAAACATACTTGTACATTGTACATGAGAGAGCCATGATTAAGGCTGTAAAAGCGATCGTGTAAAGACAAGGATATAACACCCGCCACCCGCCCATCCCCTAGAAGAGCCAAGACTCCTTGTTGCGGCCATCCACACCCACGGTGGAGATCTTCTGGGAGAATTCTCGGGCCTTGTTGTAAGCCGGGGAACCTTCGGCACCAGAGAAGTACACCATGTCCTGCCGAAGTCTGAGTGCAAGTTGGGCTTTCCCTGGGATCTACTTGTATACTGTAGTTCCTAATGCATGTGGTCGTTCTCTGCGCCTTTGCCTCCGAGAAACTTCCGCCCTGCGTGATCTGTCTACTAGTAGGGAGTCGTCCGGGCTTCTATGCGACTGAGTGGAACACTGGTTTGGATTTGCTACTATGCCGGCAGGTACGGGATACCAAGCCTCTTCACCCACAACTCACCGCTGTCACCAGCAGCCACAAAAACACCTCCGGTTGAAGAATCATAATGGAAATGTGTTCTGCTTATTCGCCTGCTTGTGGTGTCGGGGCGTTGCTATTCCGTTAGCTTCACCTCCGGGGGCTTAGGATCTGCTTGGACGGCCAAGCCAAAACCGAACCGCTTGCAACTGCACTGAACCTTATTATAGGCCTGTGATCAACCCACAACCTCTATGGCACTCTATGGAAGGCGGCGACTGGAACGGTTGATGCAGCAATGGTGTCTTCGAACTTTCGCTTTGGCTAAGTCCATCTTCCAACTTCAGGTTGTGGCTGGACCATGCTGTCCTTTTGCATCCGGTCTGCAGCGCCTCTACCGGGTCCGCCCTCAAGCTTGTTCATGAGGAACGACTATTAGTTGAAACATATTTGAGCATTTAATTGGAGCCAGCATGTGGTATATTCTTCTTCTTCGCACGGTCAGCACGTTCAGCTCGTCTCTGTTCTTTCAGCTCCATCCGACCATGCTGTCCTAAACGCCGAATCTGTCAAGTCTGTGTTCTGCGGAAGCCATTACGATACCAGGCTAAACCAACCATGAAAATTGAAGGTTTCTAAGTCGGACGAATCAAAAGTTGGACGATGGGTTCATGCCTGTTTTAGGGTGCTTGGAAATTTGGAGCAACTGTAACGCGACAAAACCGCCTTACACGGCCCCAAACCGAAAGCCCCTCAAATCGCAACAGCCTCGACTCGCTAGGCTGTACTGCATCTAGTCCATGTAGTTGCCTGAAGCCCTTGCAGCCGGAATCCTGAACCTTCGGGAATCTGAGCCCCAGATTCCTAGATCCTGCTGGTCCTGCCCTCAACCCGCATGAACCCTGTAGGCCCCTGTCAACCTGGCGCGCCAGAAGTAAATGCATCTTGAAGATCCCATCTGCCGCAGCATCTTGCAGCCCAAGAGATTGGCCCGGTCCTGCTTGAAGCCAGCAGCCTCCTGGAGGTTGGAGGTCAGCTGCTGAGACTGCTTCGTCTTGATGTAGAACTGGCAACATCGAGGGCTGTCAGATGGATTGGTTCGATTGGCGTTTGGACTCGCAGGAACCAGGCAAGTGCTTTCTCTCTTCCTTCTTCCCACCCAACAGGACAAGACAAGACGTCAACCACCACATTCTGGGCTGCCAGGCCGTCAACCAAACACAGGCAGCTTTAACCTGAAGACCTCCTGCCACGGTTGGCAGGTTCTGTTGTACGCTCCCCTTTGACAAGTCCCACAATCGATTGCTGCCGATTGCTGGGTCGCGAGTTCGCAGGTGCGGTTTTGGCTCGATCATTGCTAGCTTGCACTCCTAGAGCGGGTTGGGCCACTGAATGCACCTGATTCCATGTGTTGCGGGTTTACGTGACTCAGCGTAGGCGTAGGCCGTGCCTGGACTAGCCAAATTACCTAGAGGTAGAGGAACTGGCCTGCAACATATTTGTCTTGAGAGTAGGAACAATACCTCGCAGGCCACGTTGAGTTCAGCATCAAGTTGTGCCGCTGTGACGGATTTCTATGTTCAGGGTGGATGTAGTTCTGTCGTTTTGGGTCGTTCGGGTTTGCTGCGACGTTGGAGGTGCTCAGGTGATGGATTGCCGGACTGCTTGTTGTGTTTTATCGTTCACCGTGAGCTGTCATAGGGTTGGATGCTCGTTTCAACTGCTTATCGAGCAGGCTAGCTTGCTGCTTGCTCTCTTGCACTCCAGCCTCATCGACAGAAGTTGATCCTAAGTAGTAGGACATACCCTGAGTTGGTGAATGCTGAGGGTAACGTCGGGTGTCCACATGTTCGCGTGGACGTTCTCCCATCCCGGCCCTAGAGCACTCACTCTAGCCGGACCTAGCCGCAGTCCGCGTGATTTTCTTTGGAGTTCGGGGATCCGAAAGGTCCTGCTCCTGCCGTTCATCCGTTTACACGCAGCCCCCATCGTGGCCCAAGATGTGTATCCTTTCCAAGAGACATCAGAACAGAAACGCGGGCCTTTTGCAGCCTCTTCCAGTAACACACTCGATAGTCCGGCACCGGGCAGGGGAGGGAGCGAGCCGGATTTAGGATGACTGCACAACCAAAGATTTGATCCCATCCACCGGGGCACGGCATCAAGCTGGAGGTATCTTGTCACGAATGACACTGTATCATGCAGCAAAGACGTGATTTCTACACAGCAACATCCACAAACTGATACAGATTAAATTTAGTTGACATTCAGCACGCGATAGGTCTTCAAACATATGATACCCATAGACACAAGCGTATGATCATGAAGTGACCTCGGTCAACGTATAGTATTGGCAGTACTTTACGAGCCGTATGCCCGTCATACCAGTCCCTGGTTGGACGCTGGGAAGAGGCTTGGGTGGGTAGTCACTGTCCCAAGGGTCCATAACCATACTTCGACATGGAGGGCGGGGATGGCGGGGCTGCGAATGCACGCCCCCACTCACACACATACACAGTACTAACCACTAACGATTACGTCGTTTTGCTCCGACAGAGCCCCAAGTCGGAGCCAAGGCACGGCGGTCTTGTCGAAGCGCTCGAAGGAGTTCGCGAGGGCCTTCTTCCTGCGTGCGACCTGCGAGACCAACTCGGTGTCTTCAAGTCCCAAGATGGGATTCCCGGAGTGAAGAAGCGTCAGTGTTGCTGGGGGGCTTGGACCGCAGACTCAGAAGAGGAGACTGCATGAGGTCGAGAAGTTCCCTGGTCTCCGCCGGTGCCTCCTGGTCGGTGCGGGCCTTGTAGACGGACTCGTCTCCGACCTCGCCTTTGCTCATCACGCTGGTGCTAACCCCTGTAGTGAAGCCCAGTACATCCCTTTCGCTTTTGCTGTTTCGGTGTTGCGGTTGTTGGGGTCAAGATTCGCCATCACGAACAAAACGGAAAGCATGGAAAGAGCAAAGTCTCTGAACTGCGAGTACGGGTTGACCGGGTTGTCGTTCTGGTTGTAGACATCGGAGACGCCGCCTGCGAGTCGGATTCTTGCGACTTGTGGAAAGCCTTCGTGTTTCTGACACCGTTCGGCACAGAAGCAAACTTTGGCAAACTTGCACAGCAACCACATCTCCGATATGATCTATCGCACGATTGGCAGTAGCATGCAATCCTAAAGCAAACGGACAGGTGTGGCATTGGGTAGATAGCGATGAATAGACCGTTGCCGTGTCTACACAAAGCTTTGAGCGAAGGCCACGAATGCAGCCGCACAAATTCCTAGGGCATGCTGTGTCAACGAATGCAAATCTAGTCTCGAACTAATGGTATTCTGGATACACTACGAGACCAAGAGTCCGCGTGTGCAGAAGGCCTGCTACCGTGCGAACCTCTGCACAAGCCTCGACCAGGCTCCACAAGCCATGCAACACCTGCGAAAACTGCCAACCCAGTAACATATGTACTTGCACTGTCAAAGTTGCCCCCCATGACGCTGTAATAGTGATATGACTCCATGATACTCTATGAATCTCTATGATGTTTTAGATGCATAGAAAGTTCCGGAACCCCGGCGGAACCTCCGAGGCCGAAGAAGGACAGCTTCGGGCTCTCCGCCTCCGATGCGACTAGATTTGGCTGGATCAGCGCAAGGTTCCGGAAGTCCGAACCAAATTAAAAAGCATGGGAGATCCGACCCGGGGGTTGCAGGGATCAGGGCATGTCGTTGACTCGGTACGGGTGGCAAGGCAGGAGCAGAAGGAGGCCTTAAGCTTGCCTGGGCTTCGAAACGTCCGCTTGAGGTTTACAGAAAATCGTTCCACATGGATGCACGACTACTGATTAGAGTACAATGGCTGCTCTCGCCATCTTCGGTTCTGTATAGGAGACGAGAACACGACCGAAGAAGTGCTAAGGTGTGAGATTCGAGCTCATTGTCGAAGCACGAGGTCAATGCACATGAAGCCCTACACGCAAGCCTCAAAGGTACTCTTAGAGATCATCCGTTGGGTCGCTGACCAACATCATCACAGCAAAAGTCACAACAATCGCAAGTTCACGGACCTGGGCTGGTCCGGGAGCGGCAACGCTGGCTGCCAGGAGGGCCGCGGCCATCGTTGCTGCGGCCTTCGATGTCACGTCACGATCTGTCTTGAGCCCTTTCGGCCTTGCTTTTGCCATTCGCTCTCGGCACGGTCAGGCGAGGTCGATGGTACAGGCGATCATTACTCCTGCAAAAAACTCAGACGTGCCGCATTGGATCCAGTGACGGCCTGCACAATTTTGCCATCGCAAATTACACAACATCCACCAGAAGACACCCCACACAAGGAGGTCGTGAGGGTTTCCGAGCCTCACAGCTTGGACAATCTGGGCAAGGCGTCTGACGAATGAAGAACAGGAGAAGCCGGACCGACAGAACCCACAATTAAGTCATTCTGTCGACATTGTTCCCGGTGCAAGACTTCTGCAATCTTATGAGTTATCGATGCGCAAAGAGTTGCGTGCGCAAGGCACTGGCCGTCAGCACCCAAAAAGCAGAACGGGCTGCTTTGGCTGCGGAGGTGACAGCAGTGTCACCGCCACAGACATACGCCTTCCTTGGAAACTCTTCCACCAAAAGCTCCCATTCCGCGCCAAATCGCCCGGTGGGGCTGCAGGTGAGGTCGTGGGTTGAGACAGAGAAAAGGACACTGGAGCTGATGCTCTGACGAATAGAGAAAGTCCTCGGCGCATCGACGTTGATCACACTCTCCATTCCACAGCCTGCAAGAAACCAGTCGTTTCCCAGTGGTCGGTCGTCCGGCAGGAAGTCGCTTGCCGGGCCACTTTGTCCCACAGAAAGGAACTGCACTCCACCATCTGTGTACCGAAGCCGCCAGAGCGAACCGCTGTCTTCCTGGAAGCCCCCATGCATCGCGGTAATCCTCCGGCCATATCCAGCGTAGCTGCCAACGCCCAAATATCTTTTGGAGCCGGGGTGGTAGAGTGTGACGACCTTGCCGTCCTCGTAGATGGAAGGCTGGCACACTTCGACAGAAGCCCCAGCGTAGCAGGCCCACTCGTCCTGCACCCCAAACCGGCAACCATCATGTAGGTCTTCACAACTCGCACACAGAGCATAAGTGAAGCCACCCACATCAACGTTGCATTGCTGCTCAGGGCATTGCGATCGGATAGAGTCTTCCGACTCCCCTCTGTAGCGCATCATGCACGCCTGGGCGCAGGAAATGTACTGGTTGCTCCCGAGCTGCCAGTCATTGCAGCAGTAGTTCCAGGAGGAGCAGACGGCACTGCAGGCTTCCCCGGCCCCGGCATACGCTTGGCCCTGCAGGGAGGAGCTGGCGATGTAGGAGGATGTGGTGGTAGTACCATCCAGTCGTCGGTTTGAAGCTCCTGCTGCGCACGGGAGTGCAAGGGCAGCAGCCAGCCGAAGAGCCAAGCAAACGCCCATCGCTGCAGCCGTGGGTTCGACGGGTTCGAAAATCAAATGTAGAATTTCCAACTGAATGCTTGGCGTCTCAAAGTTGGGGGGTTTTGAGGATGAGTGGGCGTAGTTACAACATATCCCGCAGCTTACTTATTGCCTGGCATTGGCCGCAAGGGGATTCTTCAGATGGAGGATGTAGCAGCCCGTGCCGCAAGAGGCATGTTGCCCAGCAGCTGTATCCAAACTATGCTGCGCTGCTTGTGCACACGGAGTCTCGAAAACGTGATTTAAGACACTGATCTCTTGAACGAGCACATTCGCGGATCTAGCCTGTCTTTGATATGGGTGGACAGCCCTGGAAGGTCTTCCAAGACTCACCGTGCACTAGGTATGCTCATCGAAAGCTGTGAGGACATGAAACACTAGCTGATGCCGACGGCGAAACCATTTGTAACTACTCGGGCCCGCATGCTGACTGAAGCAGAGAAAAGCCCAGAAACCTGTCAAGACGACCGTGAACTTGATTCAAGTATGCGACAAAACCTCATATGCCGCAGCCTCGCCCCTCAGCTTCGGGGTTACGAAGGCATCCTCTCGGCGGAAGAGCCTCAAGTGAGTAAGCCAGACTTTGAAACCGTCTTTGGAAGAATGGCGGCTGCACACCCGAACCCACTGATCGGCCACCGCTCCCTCGAACGTCGATTGACACACACACACACACACACGCGCGCGCGCACACACAGAGCATCAGCACTTGGGACCCTTTTCGGAAAAAATCCTGGATCTTTGTGTTGGGCGGTACGCTTTCTGTTAACATGAGCTGCTCACTAGTGCGAAATGAAGGGCCAAATCCCCTTTGACAAGCGGCTGCAAAACTGCCACCACGCCAACCACGACCAGGGCCTGTTGAATGTTGGAACAAGCGTCAGACTTGAATAGATCGGAATTGCAACGCTCCTGCAACTACATGCTCTCTTGACTGACTTTCCCAACGACGAACCTGCCTTGGCCAGCAGCGAGGTGCGAGCCATTATTGCTCGTCGGTTTGGAGGGAGGGCCCGAACAAGCAGATCCAGCTGGAAGAGCCGCAGCAGCTGCTGCACAAGGACAGTCGTCCTTTGTATTTGACATCACCGAAGAAATCCAACAAAACTATAATCAAACCGGGGCATGTTATCGTCTGAATCTGATTATTGACTCTTGACGAAAATCACAGAGACCGCTCGTCCCAACATCAAACCTCGCTTGAAATCACACAATACGCACAGAATCAGCAAAGCTCCTCAGCGATGTGCCGATGGGTGCTGCTAATACCTATTCCAAACTCGCAACGGCTAGCGAAGAGGCTAGTGGAACACTCAGACACATACAACACAACCGCGGTAAGTTTTCGAGGCAGAGCACCCGAACCTGAGCCCTATCATGAAGCCATGAAGCCGACAGTCTGAAATGTATGGTTCGCTTCGCCTGGTTATGTAGGATCCGTCACGAATATTGTATTTCAAGATGTCATAACGAGAGTTCTACCCTGTAAGAGTGCATGCAGGCCTCCGGGTCAGCAGCTGGGCCGACACTGCAACTGACCGGGCGCAAGACTAGACCCAACGGTAGCTGGCTACCGCAGCTTGACAGCAAACATTACGTCGCATTCCCACTGTGACTGCTGGTAGAACCGTCTCTAAGTCTCGTATCTTAGCCGCAGAAATCATGGAAAATCATGAGTTCCTGAACCATGACTTCCAGTTTTCACAGGCAACAAACATGGCACCGGCATCGGACCCTGCGCTGTCCGTCAAAATCACATCCAACTGGTACGCCAGGAAGCAAGCACAACGATCATCCTCCGACTAGCTTACCAGATTTCACGGGCATGCAAGGCCTCATAGTAGAGACCGGTGACTACCTGAGCAGTGAACATTGGACTTTCCTGTTGCACTGACAGTCATGGGATACAGAGTACACTGCGGTGCTGCGCTACGATCCACGACAGGCATGCTCCGACACCATCGCGACATCTACCCTTGTACGCCGACGAAGACATCGCCAGAAGTTTGCGAGGACGGTTGGAAATCCACTATCTATGATGGCAGGGGTGCAGCAGTTGAGGCTGAGATGGTCGTGTACTTTATGTTCACTCGCTTGCGAGTTGCTTCTGGATTTTTTTTACTTGCTGACCGCACATGTCTCAACATCTTCGCCATTGGAAAAACTGGAAGAATCTGTGTTAGCTACGTTGCGTATGTGACGAGCTCGATCCCAAGACACAGGAATCGGACTGTGCATGTTTCAAAAGGTTGTCGCGCTTCTTAACTGGAAAAACCGCACTAGATATGTTTCGGGTGTGATGAACCATTAATTAGATGGATGTATCAGGAGATGGTTGCTGGGATCCCAGCGAGGACCCCTGACGTTCGGCAGCATGCAGGGGGTCACGCCCAGGTCGCGGTTCCTGCCAATTGGGCAATGATGGCGGCGTTCCAAGTTAAGGTCTTCTGAAAGTGTTTACTAGTAAAGCAAAAAGTCTAAAGCTGGGGATTCAATCCGACGACGTGAAAGAGAAATGTAATGTAGCTTGCAGTAATGCTGGTTACCTTGCAGCCCTCTGCGAAGGGATCACGACGCACGTTCTGTGCAGGTTTATACGTAGGGCTCTGGGATTCCGGTTCGCAGGATGCATTCCTCTGGCCGGCCCACGATGGTACGATCCACCCCGCAAAGGTGCAAACGCTTTTCTTCTGGGGTATCCGCACGGTTGCTGCAGGCGTTCGACCGCAAAAACAAAGCGATACCTGATCCCGCTTTGAGGGCCTTTGTCCGGGCAGCATCGCGGAGCTGTACACTGGTCTTGAGACCTTAAGTCATATGACTTTAAAAACACGCCGGGGCCATTCCAGCTCAGAACTTCACGAGATCCTTCCACTCCTGGCCCACTGCTGACACTCCGTTGCTGACTTCGGCCGATAATCTTAGATGCACTTCAACGTGACAGAACCCACCTTGAGCCGACCGCAATATCCCGCGATCGCAACGGTAAAACCACGCACCCGGGCTCCACTGTGCCCGAAGGCCTTCAGCAGCTCCTTTGCGGCCTCGAAGTCCTGGGAGGCTCGTCCCCACTCCTTGGAGCCAACAGACGCTGTGGCTGTCGAGCATCGAACTGACACGGGTTTGGCAACCCACTCTTTTCTCCTCTTTTTCCAGCTTCATGTGATCATAACCTTGTACGTACGTGAGAGAGCGATGCTGCCACCTCCCTCTCCCGCCCACCCCACAAGAAGAGCCGAGACTCCTTGTTGCGGCCATCCACACCCACGGTGGAGATCTTCTGCGAGAATTCTCGGGCCTTGTTGTAAGCCGGAGAAGCTTCGGCACCAGAGAAGTACACCATGTCCTGCCAAAGTCTTGGTCCGAGTTAGGGTTGGTTTGGGCCCTCTCCCGATGCATGGAGTAGTTCTGCTTCTTCTTCTTCCTGGATTTGTGCATGATCGAAGCCTTCCAATCTTGCTAGGCTGCATGGGAGCTCGCTTTGGTCTCAAGAGGTCCGAGATACCAAGCCTACAAGCTCCACGCACCATTCACGATGCCCATCACTTTCTGTCACCAACAATCCCAAAACTATAGAGGAAATGCAAGGTTTCCTGGTCACTCTCCTGCTTCCTGTGTCGGGGCATCGTTACTCCGCTAGCTTCACCTCAGGAGGCGTAGGATTCGCTGGCCTCACAGATTCAAGCCCATAGAATCTCAAACGGCTGTCTACGGTAGTAAAAATACCCTGCAATATTTTGAAGACACTTGCAACTACACTGAACCCAAACCCAACCCTCAAGCACGAAAGCCCCAGCACGACAAAACCGCTATATGCGGCCCCAAACCTCAAGCCCCTCAAGTCGTAGCCTACGACTCGCTTAAGTACTGCATTTAGTTGCGTGAGGCCCTTGCAGCTGGAATCCTGGACCTCGGGGAATCTCAACCCTGAGTCGTTCTGGTCCTGCCTTCCACCCACGTGAACCCTGCCAGGAGGAAATGCATCTTGAAGATCCTATCTGCATCTTGCAGCCCAAGAAATTTGCCCGGTCCTGCTTGAAGCCAGCAGCCTCCTGGAGGTTGGAGGTCAGCTGCTGCGACTGCTTCGTCTTGATGTAGAACTGGCAACATCGAGGGCTGTCAGATGGATTGGTTCGATTGGCGTTTGGACTCGCAGGAACCGGGGAGGCTTTGTTGCCTGCAGCTGCGTGCCCAGGACTACCATCAACTTTGAGATGCTGTGTCGTATCTTGAACACATTAACTTCCTAAGTTTGCGTTGTGGGATGCCCTATCTGGTGGTGAATGACATTTTGCATCATTCGCCGAAGACCCGTCAACATATATAATCCCAGCCCCTTGATATTAATTAAACAGCGGGGTCCCGCGAATAAAAAGACTGCAAAAGTGAGTTTATTATATGGGTACGTTTATCTCTACCGCAACCTCGGGGAGGATCTTGCTCCTGCTCTTGCTCCTCCTGCGGCTCTTGCTGTTGCTTTTGCTCTTACGACGCTAACTCAAATTTTAACCGGCAAAGTGTTGGTTTGTAGGGGGTGTGTTTGAAACAAACGGGTGAAGTAAGTGTAGCTAACAGGTCCAAGCAGGAGATAATGAGATGACCTCGTTCAATGTAGTAGCACAAAACTATAACCTCAGAAAGCAGTATTCCTGTCGGATTCTGCGGCTTCAACTGTGGAGGGGGCCACGGTTCGAATGAACAACACAGATGAATACAAAAAACACACACACACACACACACACATCCGACGTTGATGTATTGTTTACGTCGACACAGCCCCAAGTCGGTGCCAAGGCACGGCGGTCTTGTCGAAGCGCTCGAAGGAGTTCGCGAGGGCCTTCTTCCTGCGTGCGACCTGCGAGACCAACTCGGTGTCTTCAAGTCCCAAGATGGGATTCTCGGAGTGAAGAAGCGTCAGTGTTGCTGGGGGGCTTGGACCGCAGACTCAGAAGAGGAGACTGCATGAGGTCGAGAAGTTCCCTGGTCTCCGCCGGTGCCTCCTGGTCGGTGCGGGCCTTGTAGACGGACTCGTCTCCGACCTCGCCTTTGCTCATCGCACGCTGGTGCTAACCCCTGTAGTGAAGCCCAGTACATCCCTTTCGCTTTTGCTGTTTCGGTGTTGCGGTTGTTGGGGTCAAGATTCGCCATCACATAAGGAATGGAAGTTATGGAAGGAGCGAAGTCACTGAACTGCGAGTACGGGTTGATCGGGTTGTCGTTCTGGTTGTAGACGTCGGAGACGCCACCTGACAGTCGGATTCTTGCGACTCGTGGAAGGCCTACATAAGTAGCATAGCAAGTTTTCCGTGCTGGCATGGGCCATGTCTCCTGTCTGTCGCACGAGCGGCAGCAGCAAGCAATCTTACCTGGTTATAGACAGGAGGGTGTGGCGTTCAACGATTTGGTTTCAATTGCTTCCCGAGTGTAATACACAAATATGCAAACTTCAGAGAAAAAGCCTGAAGCCGCAGAACTCTCATTCCACGTTTGTGGAGGGTATTGCTGGTGGCTAGCAAAAATCATGTCAAAACCTGCGCAGCATAAACCGCTCCATTGCCTGAAGGAAGATGTGCCTACAAAATTCCCATAAGCCTTTTAGGAGCGTCAAATAGAAGCGTGCACGGTCGATGACTATGAAGCTGAATGCCCGAACATGGGTTTCAGATAGATGGCCGGATGAGTAGACTGTTCCGGAATCTCAATACACAAAAGAAGAGCACTGGCTGGCACAAGTTTCTCTGCCATTTCAGTCATCCTGCAGGACACCAAACTGCGCTCGTCCGCGAAGACAATACGAGACCAAGAGCATCTCGTATCCCGCCTAACCTTGAGGACAAACAGCAGGCCTGCTGACCGTCCGAACCTCTGCACAAACCTCGACCCCGCTCCACAAAACCTGCAACTCCGAATCCAAAACTGCCAGGTCAAGAACAGTTTTTCCCAGTGTCAACCTTTCATTTCACGACATTGTGACAGTGACGTGATAGCGTTCCCAAGGCCTTTCACATAACCCCGGCGAAACCTCCGAGGCCGAAGAAGGAAAGCTTCGGGCTCTCCGCCTCCGATGCGATTAGATCTGTCTGGATCAGGCGTCGTCGTGGTTTGGCGGCTTAGCGCTTATTAGTGGGCGACAAGGGAGACACTACAAGTAGCAAGGTCGTACACTTGTGTGGGCTTTGGCAGAAAATCATTCCGGATAGCGGTGCGACTCGTAATTCAAACGATTAGCCTCTTTCATCATCTTTGGTTCTGAAGGAGACGAAATGCTTCTCGTGATGTCTGCAAACATCCCGAAAGAAACTGTGCATCACTCCTGTTCCAATCGAAAGATCTGCTTTTCTGACAAGAACTTGAACCACAACAGCAAAGCTTCTGACGGACCTGGGCTGGTCCCGGAGCTGCGACGCTGGCTGCCACAAGGGCCGCTGCCATGGTTGCTGCGGCCTTCGACATCAAGTTGTGACTTGAAACAAGCTCTGATTGTCTGGCAGGGAGTTCCTTGAGATCAATATTGCAGCTCCCGTGGCGGCTCTGTATTTAGACACTGATCTCTTGAACGAGTACCGAATGCAGAATGTTAAGTTCCCGTATTTGGCCGTGTCGGCGTGGCCCAGCAGCCCTGTGTGTTCACTTCTCTGCGAAGGGCTCCCAAGACTCCCTGTGCAGAAGCCGAAACCGAACATTGAAACCGTTTGGAACTACTCGGGACCGCATGTTGACTGAAGCAAAGAAAAGCCCTGAATCCTATCAACACGACGGTCAACTTGATTCAAGTATCGCCATGTGACAAAATGTCTTACTCCGCGGCCTCGCCCCTCAGCTTCGGGGTTACGAAGGCATCCTCTCGGCGGAAGAGCCTCAAGTGAGTCAGCCAGAATTTGCAACAGTCTTTGGAAGAATACCTCCTGCACACCCGAACCCCCTGATTGGGCCACCGCTCATCAGCACTTAGGGCCGTTTTCCGAAAATAATGCAACCAACCTCGTGTTGGTCGTTGCGCTCTCTGTTAACGCGCGCTGCTCACCAGCGTAGGGTCCGGAGAAAGAGATCCCGGGCCAAATCCCCTTTGACAAGCGGCTGCAAAACTGACACCACGCCGACCACGAGCAGGGCCTGTTCAAGCGTCATTGGATCGGAACTGCGACGCTCCTTCAATTCCATGCTCTCTTGACCGTCCCAAAGACGAACCTGCCTTGGCCAGCAGCGAGGTGCGAGCCATTATTGCTCTTCGGTTTGGAGGGAGGGCGCGAACAAGCAGATCCAGCTGGAAGCCGCAGCAGCTGCTGCACATGGACAGCCATCTTCTGCATGCCCCCGGACGCGACATCTCATCATCATGCAGCAGCGGTCAGAAGGGTCAAACTGTCATCCGACATTGGCATGTTATCATCTCGGCGTGGCATTAGATTCATATCCGCACTTTTCGTCTCGGGTATCCACACGGATGCTTCAGGCGTCTTCGTCTTTGAGGGCCTTTGTCCGTACACCATGGCTGAGCTGTACACTGGTCTTGAGACAGTAAGTCATATGACTTTAAAAACACACCGGGGCCATTCCAGCTCAGAACTTCACGAGATCCTTCCACTCCTGGCCCGCTGTTGACACTCCGTTGCTGACTTCACCTGATAATCTTAGGCGCACTTCAGTATGAACCCAGAACCCACCTTGAGCCGACCGCAATATCCCGCGATCGCAACGGCAAAACCACGCACCCGGGCTCCACTGTGCCCGAAGGCCTTCAGCAGCTCCTTTGCGGCCTCGAAGTCCTGGGAGGCTCGTCCCCACTCCTTGGAGCCAACAGACGCTGTGGCTGTCGAGCATCGAACTGACACGGGTTTGGCAACCCACTCTTTTCTCCTCTTTTTATAGCTTCATGTGATCATAACCTTGTACGTACGTGAGAGAGCGATGCTGCCACCTCCCTCTCCCGCCCACCCCACAAGAAGAGCCGAGACTCCTTGTTGCGGCCATCCACACCCACGGTGGAGATCTTCTGCGAGAATTCTCGGGCCTTGTTGTAAGCCGGAGAAGCTTCGGCACCAGAGAAGTACACCATGTCCTGCCAATTTCTGAGTGCAAGTTGCTGGTTTGAGCACTGCGGGCTCTAGCACCGTTTACAGCGACATGGAAACGTTCCGCCCAAGCCAAAAAGTCATTGAATTTGTAAAACTCTAGACGCAAAAGCCGTTTCTCATCTACATTGAACTCGACAGCTTCAAGTCTGTAGAATCGGAAGTGCATTGAGCTTGGCCGAAGTGCCTAAACTCTAACTAATGTGTAATAATGTGTATGCGACAAAGCCGTTTACACACACCTGAGCTCCAGCACTGAAGACCTAAGTCATACCCGTCACACCCTGCAGCTGCTTCGAGCTCACTTTACTCCATAATGCTGTAAAGCCGTTTACATCTATATTGAATCCTTAGATGTCTGCGCCACAAACATCCAGCCCCTCAAATCGGAATGGCCTAAAATCGCTGAATCGTCTGTGACTGCCTGAGGCCCTTGCAGCTGGAATCCTATCGCACCCTGCGTCCTTCTGGCCCTGACCCAGATGCCTCAGCATCTTGAAGCCCGAAAACCCCGTTGTGATACTAGGGCCGGTCCTGCTTGAAGCCAGCAGCCTCCTGGAGGTTGGAGGTCAGCTGCTGCGACTGCTTCGTCTTGATGTAGAACTGGCAACATCGATGGGCTGTCAGACGGATTGGTCGGAACTGGGGTGGCTTTAGGGTCCGGCCGGCTGTCGTCTGGACTCCCACAACTCCCACAAATCCAATGCAGCTTCACAACAGCTCGCAGGTTCGGTCAAAGATTCCGGGCTCGGTCGGCTCAGCGTGTCTTTCTGGCGCATTCATTCGTATTTGGCGTTGGGCTTGCGTTTGGCAGAGTGATTTCAGCTTTGCCAGAATGGGTTTCCAAATCAGTGCAAAGGCACGGCAGTCTTGTCGAAGCGCTCGAAGGAGTTCGTGAGGGCCGTCTTCCTGCGTGCCACCTGCACAAGGAATGCTTGGCCAACAAGGCTTCCCGAACGTCGGAAGTCTGCATTCCCATCCCATCCACGCACCGACATGTCGGATTGATGATGAGATAACAGTCCACATGCACTCCTGCAGTACAACTGAAACACCGACCCAGTTTCGTTGCTCAGAGAACCGGTTGCCCCCGCTCACGTCAGCGGCTCCGCGAAAAACCGGCTTCACAAGACCGTGCGAGAGAACTAGCTCAGCGACAGACCAATAGGGGCGCAAGTTATCAGGGATTTCAATTCTATGGGTCCCAAGTTTGAAGCATTGCAGGCTTTACGGCAACTTTACGGGCTTACTTGGACCAGAACTCCAAAGAGGAGTCTCACGTCCACTCGACCGGTGCCTCCTGGTCGGTGCGGGCCTTGTAGACGGACTCGTCTCCGACCTCGCCTTTGCTCCCGCGACGGCAAATCCCCGTAGCGAAATCCGGACATCCCAGCACTTATGCAAAGCCTCATGTAGAGTTTCGGTGCTTCGGCTGCTAAGTTCAAGAAACTGTGCAGGTTTCTCTCGTTGCTCTGACCTCAGCATGACTCACAGCGTGGAAATCATTGAAAATGCAAAGCCACTGAACTGCGAGTACGGGTTGATCGGGTTGTCGTTCTGGTTGTAGACATCGGAGACCCCACCTGGCGACGTGTGTGGAATGCCGATTTGTCTGCTCCGGATCATCACTCGGTACGGAAGCGAGCTTTGGCAAACTTGAATGGCAAGTCTTCGCTGGTGGCCGGGCCATGCCCGGTCTATGGCACGAGTGACAATAGCCTGAAATCTCAATTGCACCCATATTTACCTGCAATGTCAAGGTTGCAGTTCATGACGTTGCCAGGGTGACATGACGCAAGCATGGCACGGCTTGGAGCACGCCATAGAATTCCGAAGGCCTTTCACATAACCCCGGCGGAACCTCCGAGGCCGAAGAAGGAAAGCTTCGGGCTCTCTGCCTCTGATGCGATCAGGCCCGGCTGGATCAGGCGTCGTCGTGTTTGAGGCAGTTACGGTATAGTTGGGGTTGCTTTCTCAGATTCAGCGCAAGGCTCCGTGGCGTCGACTCGGTGTGGGTGACAAGGGAGACACGATCAAGACTTCAAGAGGTCTTTCTTACTTTTGTTTGGGCTTCAAAGGGAGCTCTCAAGCCTTTTTTGGTTCTGAAGGAGACGAAATGGTTCTCGTGATATCTGTCAACATCTCCAATGAAACTGTGCATCACTCCGGTTCTAGTCGAAAGCTCGGCCAGCCAGAGGTTTGCTTGATGACAATAGCTTGGGCCACAAAGCAAAGCTTATGACGGACCTGGGCTGGTCCCGGAGCTGCGACGCTGGCTGCCACAATTGCCGCAGCCATCGTTGCTGCAGCCTTCAATATCAAGTCTTGATCCGCTGAACTATGTCGCAGCTTGTTGTCTGGCAAGGGAATTTCTTGAAACGAATATTGCAGCCCTTGCCGCAAGCGGCATGTTGCCCAGTGGCGGCTCTGTAGTTGGCTCAACCAGAGTGATGTGTTTGGCTGGCCGCTTAGCGGCCGCTTGTTCGGCAGAACACCGGAATCTGCAGGCAGAAACCAGCTACGCCTTAGACTTACAAGACTCGTTGCGCACAAGTATGCTCTTTGCGGAGATGAGAGCAGGCACAGATTACGTTGACTGGAAACGTCTTGAACCCTGTCAAACACATGAAACGACCGTGAATTTGATTCAAGTATCGCAATGTGACAAAACCTCTTACGCCGCAGCCTCGCCCCTCAGCTTCGGTGTTACGAAGGCATCCTCTCGGCGGAAGAGCCTCAAGTGAGTCAGCCAGAATTTGCAACAGTCGTTGAAAGAATTCTGCACACCCGAACCCACTGATCGGGCCACCGCTCCCTCGAACGTCGATTGACAGACATAATAGCATCAGCACTTAGGAACCTTGTCGGAAAATCCTGGATCTTCGTGTTGGTCGTTGCGCTCTCTGTTAACGTCCGCTGCTCACCAGTGCAGGGTCCGAAGAAAGAGACCAAGGGCCAATTCTCCTTTGCCAAGCGGCTGCAAAACTGACACCACGCCGACCACGAGCAGGGCCTGTTCAAGCGTCATTGGATCGGAACTGCGACGCTCCTTCAATTCCATGCTCTCTTGACGGTCCCAAAGACGAACCTGCCTTGGCAAGCAGCGAGGTGCGAGCCATTATTGCTCTTCGGTTTGGAGGGAGGGCGCGAACAAGCAGATCCAGCTGGAAGCCGCAGCAGCTGCTGCACATGGACAGCCGTCTTCTGCATGCCCCCGGACGCGACATCTCATCATCATGCAGCAGCGGTCAGAAGGGCTATAGAAGTCGGACTTCACTGGAGAAGTCCAAGGACACTGTCATCCGACATTGGCATCTTATCATCTCGACGTGGCATTAGATTCATATCCGCACTTTTCGTCTCGGGTATCCACACGGATGCTTCAGGCGTCTTCGTCTTTGAGGGCCTTTGTCCGTGCAGCATCGCGGAGCTGTACACTGGTCTTGAGACAGTAAGTCATATGACTTTAAAAACACGCCGGGGCCATTCCAGCTCAGAACTTCACGAGATCCTTCCACTCCTGGCCCACTGCTGATACTCCGTTGCTGACTTCGCCCGATAATCTTAGATGCACTTCAACGTGAGGACAGAACCCACCTCGAGCCGACCGCAATATCCCGCGATCGCAACGGCAAAACCACGCACCCGGGCTCCACTGTGCCCGAAGGCCTTCAGCAGCTCCTTTGCAGCCTCGAAGTCCTGCGAGGCTCGTCCCCACTCCTTCGAGTGACACAGGTTTGGCAATCCACTCTTTTCTCCTCTTTTTCTAGCTCCACGTGATCATAAACTTGTACGTACGTGAGAGAGCGATGCTGCCACCTCCCTCTCCCGCCCACCCCCTACAAGAGCCCAGACTCCTTGTTGCGGCCATCCACACCCACGGTGGAGATCTTCTGCGAGAATTCTCGGGCCTTGTTGTAAGCCGGAGAACCTTCGGCACCAGAGAAGTACACCATGTCCTGCCAAAATGCAGATCCGAGTCGGGGCTGCCCCAAAAACACCTCCGGCTGAAAAGGCATAGTGGAATGGCTTTCTGGTCAATCGACTGCTTCGGGGGCGGCTAGGATTCGTTTGAATTGGCTATATACTGCAACCCTTTGTAAGACCGGGCGGACATACAATCTCAGCAACTAGTAGATAATCGAATGCAACAATGAGAGTTGAATACACACGTTCCCCGAACCGCCCTAAGCTACTAACTCAAAATGCCAAGTCCTGATGTGGAGTCTCGAAAGGACCTTGCATGAGCAGCAAA